CATTGAAGTAACAGAAAGAGAAAAGTATGCTTATTTAAGATATTATTTACACTGGATTGGTTAGTGAATAAATCACAGATGGAAACATCTGTCACTATTCTTTATGTCGCTTTGTTTATCCCTTTCAAAAGGGCTGTTCTCTATTTTCTTTGATAGTGATGATTTATAGAAAATTGTATGGGCTGTTATAGAAATGAATTGACATATTAGGGTAACATTAAATTGGAGTACAAAGTAAACTTAACATGACGGTCTCTATTAGAGAATTGCATACATGTTTCCTATTGCTAAGTGTTTTTTGTGTACTTGAACTATAAACATTTATCAGTTATATGACTGTTATATTTAGACGGTGCTTCAAGGTTTAGTTACATCTGTTACAGGGTAAAAACAAAGGTAAAGAAGTCCTGATAAACAGTGTGAAAAAGATTAGCCTTATTGTGCCTCATAAGAACTGTAAACCACAAACACACCTTTGATGATGGTGCCTTATGGTGTATGTGAAGGATACTTTACTGACAATTGCATGTTGAATGCTGATATGCTTATGGTGAATCCTACATCAATGCTTTTGGTGTAAAAGAGGCCCTATTGTGCTTTTGGGGGGTTTCCCCTTTTCTGTAGTTTGTATACGTTTTTGTGCATGTAAATGGTTTGCAAAGGCTAACATCCCAAAGGCCACATCCCCCCCTTCCCCCTCCCTGCCTGAAACGTCTCCATTGTAGTCCTTTGTTTCAGGTCTCCGGTTTCTATTGGATAGTGCTCCAACACATTGTACCAATTTTTAAATTATGTAGTAAAACTAAATATATTTGTTATGATGACATGCATTTGGTTCATATCTAGATTCTCTGAACTGATTTTAAAAATCTAATTTGAGAACTGATACTCAAAGGAGTTTGAACTTGGTGGTCACAGTATATATTTACCTATTAATAATGTTCTCACCATTCTCATGTTTGTGTCACCCTTTGATTATACTACCCTCTACTGTCTGGTTTCATCAACTACACACGTGATAATTCATGGTATTAAAAGGAGAAAAGTGACTTTGTTAGATTCAGTATGAAGTAAAAAGGTGTGGCCATATTAGCAAAAGTTGGCAAATTGTCAATGATATTTGAAAATAAATCAATATTTATTTTGCAGGACCAGTTTAAATGTGGGACATTTAAATATACAATTATTAAAAATGTATTTATACAGCCATGTATATTTGGAAGTACTATAAATACAATAAGACACAATTATACACGTAAACATCAAAATAATTAAAGATGTACAGTGTGAAAAATTAATTCTTCTCAATGGTCCGACCCGATTTTAGCATTCACCGGCTTCATTAAGGTCTCTGAATGTTTAAAGATTACCACTGCCTTAAAACTTATTTGATTAGCAGTTTCCTTCACATTTGAACACTTCAAACAGCACAGCAGATTCAGATTTCTACAGCATGGAAAGGTAAAAATGAGGACATTAGACTTCAAATGAAGAGTGTGATGATAGCTATGGGCATTAAAAGGAGAGGGACAAAGACTCCAGTGTGTTTCGCTCCGTTACATAGGTCCCCAGCACAGCATCTGACACTCACAGAATCCACGTTATTGCACACATCACTTCTCATGCATTCTTTTGTGATCAAATTTTCAGCAACTGCAACAGAGAAGGACGGGGAGTATTACCTTTTATAAGATAACATATGTGACAATATTCACAGAAGTTCTGGCTACTCAAATCACACAATAATATAAAACATAATAATAACATATCAAAGCCACAATATTGTGGTAAATGTAACATACCGATGGAGGTGCTGCAGCGGTCATAATGTTCAGCACAGTCCCAAACATGAGTGCAGGAGCCAGGGTTTGCACTCCAGCAGGTGAAACACTTTAACCCACACACTGCAGGCAAAGCAGAATTGACATTTTTTACAATGACCTCAACTTACTGATTTTTAGATTACATTTTGTGATGGCTGCTCATCTTTACTGCTCTTACCTCCTGACAGCATCATGCAGATGATCCCAAAGACACACACAGCCTCATTTTGAGTCAATTGGGGACGGGTGGCGCAGTGGTCTGTGCGTTTGATCATCAGATCAAGGGGGTCGTTGGGGAACTCCAGTTCGAAACCCGCTCCCGCCCCACTGCGTCAGTCCGTTGTGTCCTTGGGCAAGACACTTCACCCGAATTTGCTCCTGTGGGTATTGTCCACAGTATCTGACCATTACATGTATGATCTGTATGTGTAATGTGTATTTGTAAAGCTCTTTGATAAAGCGCTATAATAAATATAAGGATTATTATTATTATTATAATTGGAAAGCCAAGGAATTGAAAACTTGTCCGACCTCTGATGATGTCAAATGAATGTTATCCACTTCCTGGTGTATTTTATATCCACGGACAAACCAATTATGTTTGGACATCTCAGAGGGGAGTGTCCACCAGTTTTCCTTTCATGTTGACCATTTATTTCATGTTTAATCATTTATTTGTACCTGGCTCTCAAAAGTCGTACCAATTCATCATCAATAACAGTTTCAAAAACATTCCTGTGTCGAGGAACGTTTTCTTAACCTGAGTTACATATTTGTTTTTACATATTGTCAAAACACTTGAACCATCTTTGTTGAAGCTGAAGCTGCCACTCCTAAAGGTGTAAATGTTTAACTAATTGCTGTTTCAACAGCCAAGAAACCTTGGCAGATCTTTATTAGAGCTATGGAGTTGCCTATTGAAGTCTGCATGTATGCTGATTGTGGTCGAAAATACCAGTTAGTGTAAACACTATTGGTTCTATGTGAATTACAATCTTACGTATTCAGATAAAATCGAATTGTATTCTCTGTCAGATAAACCCTAGCCTTATTGAGATTATAATAATTGCAGCATTAAACCTCACCAGTGGCGTTTCTGTACAAAAGTGGTGGGGCACAAAAAACTCAGATGTCTATATATAAGCTTCTGCAGTGAGGTTCATGGCTGGTGAGGCACTGGCACTGACTCTTCAGGTTTATAAATATTATATTTTGACCTAAATCAAAATATAATATTATTTTCAAAAGCTTTTTTAGTCTGATGCTTCAATTAATTTTAAACAGACAGTTCAACAGAAGGATACCCAAAAAATGTAATTTTATCATTTAAATATTGAATTGTTCTCTCTTAGTAAGATCCCATTTTCAATCAAATTGTGGTCTTACCTTGACTTGAAGATGAAGTCCATTTGCCTATCCTTTTGGACAAAAATCTCTATTACTTTTTCGTAAAAGTCCTCCTTATCTTCTTGTAGTTTCAAAAGTCTATCATAAATCTAAATTATGGATTTATGATTCGAAAATGATAAAAGTAGGGTAGACATGTGGATATTATCCGGCTGAACAAAAAGTACATTTATCTAACAGCTACGTTTCCCACAGATCTTATTTTGAGCTATTTTCTAAAATCCCATGGAGAAATCTCATTGCTTTTTTGTGGAGGGAAGCCATGCGCAGCTTACTTCCTGGTTTTAGGATGCGTCTCTCTCCTCCTCTTCACACACCACACTTTTCGCGGCACACATACTTACAGCCAATCAGCTCTGAATTATGTGAGATGACGTATGGTGGGGATGGCAGCTCTATGCCCCTATGGTCATTATTTTTTGCCACACACATTAAATAGGAAAATACTCTGAGCATGCGCAGTGTAGTTTTTATAGTCACCGTTCACTTAGACAGTGAGAGGGAGGGGCAGGATCGGGTTTTGTCCCACATGGCTCTAAACAGCTCAATAGGCACACACTGTAGACACTAATTAGAAGAACACATACTAAAACAGCAATGTACAGACGAATCAGATGATTAAACATGATCTTAAAATATATTTTATATATATTTTAATTTATTTTTTGCATTTTGTTGTAATCATTATTTTAATACTTTCTGCTGACACTAGGTGGGGCTGTGCCTAATGACCAGTCGCTACTGAACCTCACCAACAAGCACTCATTTACACACTAATCTTGTTAATGCAGATTTCTAATGGCATTAGTAGATCTACGTCATTAATCTGCTGCCAGAAAAGGCAGATCAACTAAAAGAAACTCTAGAATTTAGAAGGGCCATTCACCCAAATAATTAATGAATAATTTCTTAATTTAATTTGTTGTGCTTTTATTCATACAGTTTAATCCACACTCCTTCTTTCCAAAGCATCTACATAAGATGAAGTAACTTTGTTATACTGTAGTGTCGACCAGCCCACTCTGTTTGTTCTGTCTGGTGTTTGCAAGGATCTTGACCTTTCACCCCTGGATTAAAGGCCTGAGACAGGTGAGGTCTGGATACCAGGTTATCCACCGGCTGCTGAGAAGTGATCTATCCTTTTGACATTTTTTTAGTTCCTGATGCTATTTCTTCACTTGCTGCTGTAACAGTGGCTATATTATTCTTTGTGGGTCAGAACAAGCAGGGATTCAAAGTTTGTGACATTAGTGTGCAATATATAGCTTTATTTTATTAAGACTGGCAGTCAGCCTTGGCCTTTTTCTGAGGGATAGAAGGGACTAGAGTGAGTCGGCGTTGTTGTTTGCACTTAAATTGTGCTTTCTTTTCTGTGTTACCTATTACGCTCTTTCTAATTACCTTGTTTTTAGAAATTGCTTAGACTATTTAATTTATTGTAACATGTTGTTTTTGAGATAAACACACATAACCTGGCTACATTTGATGGACAAGTGGTGGGAAAAATATTCAGATCTTCTACTTGACTAAAAGTACGAATACAATAATTCCACTTCATGATAAGTAAATATATACAAAACTGTAGCAAAAGCAAAATGTAATTAAAGAAGGGAAAGTAAAAGTTCTGATTATGCATAAATGACCCTTGAGAGAGGTTTGACTTGGTCTTTCCTTATTGGATTTGGAGAATATATCCTTACATCGTGATTCATTTTCCAAAACAGACTAACACCACCAACATTGTAGGACATCTGCCAAAAATACACCTTGTTTTGTCAATCAAGTTTATTTTGTCTAGAATGAATATGCACGTAAATTATTTATTGTAAGTAGGTACAGTGCTATACAGACCATGAATATCTTGTTAGACCAACAGTTTAATTAACTACTATTAGCCTACTCTTTTCCAGGATTCCCTGCAAAGGTAATGTTCACTTCCTGAACTGAGGGATGGGGGAGGGGATCTTGATGTCCTGCCCCCTCTCCAGCCTCTTCTCACATTCGATCAGGTAGTTAACTCCATCAACCACTAATTGTACCAGCTCCACCTGTGAACATATTGTCAAAAATCGTGGTTAGAGTTTCACAGGTTCAGGTTACACTTACAGTTATATTCAATTATGTATTATGGTCCTGAACTTTAGGAACTCTTAACTAGTATTCATCTCACTGAGGTTCAAGAGTCATTACATTACAGTCCTGAGTCTGTGGGATTTCATTTAATGCATAGGAACTATAAGCAAACAAGTGAAATTAGCTAGTGTGGTGGGGGAAAAAGTGAATATTTTGTTAAACCTATCTTTTTTACTTTTTGTTAAGTTACAATTAACTTTACTACAATTGCAGGTACATCTAAAAACTTTGCACAGCACGGAATCAGCTCTTTTAAGAGTTTTTAATGATATCCTTTTAGCAACAGACTCAGGTGAATGCATTATCCTTTTACTCCTTGATCTAACGGCCGCTTTTGATACAGTGGACCATGAGATCCTGATAGCTCGTTTGGAGCAGTGGGTGGGCATTAGGGGCAAAGCCCTCGAATGGTTTAGGTCGTATCTGACTGGTAGGACTTTCTGCATCAGCCTTGGGGACTCTGAGTCCTCGTTTGCTCCTCTCCTTTGTGGGGTTCCACAGGGTTCAGTGTTAGGCCCCCTGTTGTTCTCCCTGTATTTGCTCCCTCTTGGGTCCATTCTTAGGAAGCACGGTATCGCTTTCCATTGCTATGCAGACGATTGCCAAATATATGTGCCACTTAAAAAGAACGACTCATTTTCAATTAAACCGCTGTTAAACTGCCTTGAAGACATTAAATCCTGGATGTCATGCACATTTTTTAAATTAAATGATGACAAAACCGAAGTGATGGTTTTTGGTGCCCCTCGGACCACTCCGATAGACCTAGGATCCCTGGGCCACTCCACCAGGCCTACCATCACAAATCTTGGGATAAAGATGGACCCTGAACTGAAGCTTGACAGCCAGATCAAGGCAGTTGTTAAAAATAGCTTCTTCCACCTCAGACAGCTAGCCAAAATAAAGCCTTTTTTAAGTAGTGACCTTTTTGAAACGGTAATCCATGCCTTCGTCACCTCCCGCTTGGATTATTGTAATGCACTATATATGGGGATAAGTGCATCCTCCCTTGCTCGCCTGCAGATGGTGCAAAATGCAGCAGCACGGCTACTAACTGGCACACGCAAATACGAGCACATTTCCCCCATTTTATCTTCACTCCACTGGCTGCCCGTTCATTTGAGGATTAATTTTAAAACTCTTTTATTTACTTTTAAAGCCCTCAATGGCCTGGCCCCGCCCTACCTCTCTGAGCTGTTACACAGCTACACGCCCACTCGCACTCTCAGGTCAGCTGATCAGTTGCTCCTGAGGGTGCCAAAAACAAAGTCTAAGCGTAGAGGGGACCGTGCTTTCTCTGCTGCCGCCCCTAAACTGTGGAACGACCTGCCCTTGCTCATCAGACAGGCTCCCACACTGACTGCTTTTAAATCTCGTCTTAAAACCCACCCCTTCTCCTTGGCATTCAGAAACAAGTAGATTGTTGCTTTTATTTGCTTTCAGTGGTCTATTGTTTTTTATTATATGGCTGTTATTTATTTTTTAATTATTACGTTTATTCTGGTTTGTTTTGTGTTTGTATCTTGTATTTTAAATGTATTTATATTATGTTGTGTGAGCTTATCTCTCTGTACAGCACTTTGGTCTGAAGGTTTTTAAAGTGCTATATAAATAAAGTTGGATTGGATTGGATCTAGAAATTTCGCAAATAAGTGGATTTTGAAGGTGAATGCAATTTGTGTTGGAACTAATGTCATGTCCATGTAGAATAAATGAAGATGTTGAAGACAGTTGCTGGTTGATCAACTCTTTAACATGTGCAATCAGGTAAGAAAAATGAAGCACATTTTGAATACATTGTATTTTGTATATTTTTAGAGTCTCATCGCAATGCACTATCCCCCCACCCTTCTATAAATGGCTGTCTAGCAAGATTAACTAACTCCACAAGACTTCCTGAGCCTTTCAGGAAGGACTTCCTCTGCTTGACTGTGGTGGCAGACATCCATTACCATGTCCTTGATAATGACCTTTCACAGACCTAATTGGTAGTGTCCATTGGAGGCCGTCCTCACAGTCTGTAGGAAAGAGCCGCAGGAAGGGCTCAGCTCAGGAGACAGAGGTCTATTACCTCACCTGGCATATCACCTGGATTACAGATTAAAGAACTGCAGGGGATATTCTTATTCAGAGCACCTGTTAGGATGTCTGCTGTCTTCTCTGTGACTCTGTCTTTGCCTGCCACTAAATTCTACTTTTACTTCAGCTTCCACTTCAGGTGATTACCTCTGACTTGCCGAGACGGTCGTTGTTAGAGATGTCGACGGTGTCTCCAGTGGCCGCCGTGTCCACACCACCAGTGCCCCTCTTCTGAAGCCTCAGGTTCTCCAGGATCTTTTTGAAGCGAGGGTCCTTAACAATAAACATTAAACATCAATATGTTGAGAATACAGGAGGAAATATGTGTTGTTTGAGGGGAACCCCCAGTGTGTTTTTTTTGCATTACCCTGCTGAGCATGGGCAGACGAACATGCACCCCCGCCCTGAGTCCAGTGCCCAGGTTGGAGGGGCAGGTGAGGATGTAGCCCAGACGGTCATTCCACATGAACTCCCAGCCTCTCTCCTGAATAAGATGCTCCACCTACAAATTACAAGAAAGTATTGTATTTTTACTTTTTGGAACACACATTTGAAATATAATTTCAACAGACTGGAGATAAAATATTATTCAGACAAATAAGGCTCTGCTTTTTTTTCTATTTTTGATGTGGTAATTCCAATGATTGTTTTAATACAGCCTCATACTGTGTAGGCAATCATATGTAAGTAGTGTGTCTGTATGTACTAATATCAATACTTGCACTTAGACAAACTGCATGCATTTTTGTTTTCTTTATTTAGGGTGACTAAAATGTTTTAAAACTTTACACATGCATACCTGTTTAAGTCCTCTACAGAACCTTTCAAACACTCTCTTCATGTTTCCTCCTTTCTCCATGGATATGATCCTTGTGTGGTCCTCCTCATTGATCCAGAGTAAGAAGTTCTTCTCGTTGTTGTGCCTGAAACCCCAATAACAGCAGAAATGAATTCCAATTCAGAGCTGGGTTTTAGTATTAATACCAATCTGAATCTGCTGATACAATTGAATCCTTCAGCAGTATAAATGTGTTGTCAGGCAAGACATTGGCTATCAAGGCACAGGTAGGGAGGCGGAGATCTGAGCAACAGTATTATTATCAACAAGGAAATTATCTACATTTTGAGTTATGGAGGTAAAGGAAGTAGAGAGGCCAGACATTTTTTTGCAAAGAAGAGTTTCATTTAATTAGTGCAAAGCAGTATTTTAAAAGCATGGAAAGGATAATTAAGGCACAAGTAGATTACTCATCAGTAATGGAGGGTATGGACGAGCTGCAAGCGAACGCATCAGTGTTCTACCAGTGATGTTTTAGGCAGAGGAAAAATAGATTTTCATGCATTGTGAGACTAATTAACAATAAAGCACCATTGTTGTTTGCTGGTTATTTTAAGCCTCGCAGCAATAGGGGAATGCATTTCTTTATAAACTGTTCGAACGTGATTTTACAGAAAAACGGTGTAATCTAATTCTACAGTATAAGCCACTTCTCTCTACTCATATTGGTCCTGTATTGTACGATGTTGGTGTCTAATGGTGCCTGTTGTCAGAAGATATTTCCTAAATAACCCTTTGCGTCCAACACATTAATAAATGTCATCCAATACGCTACACTGCTTTAAAAGGATGTTTGTGACTACAGCCAATCAGCACTGTTTATTTTAGACAGGGATTTGCCTCGGTTTACCAGATCCCACGAGCATCAGGCCAATCTCTGGCCATCCCGGAAGCAGTCAGCAGAGGTGACACAGGTTTATCAAACAAGAGGTGCTCCTGCCAGTGAAGGGACAGAGGAATCATGGGGAACATTAGTTGCCAACATCCATCAAAAAACAAATAGAGATACTTGTCTCTGAGTGTGTGCGAGCGTATGTGTGTGCACTTACATCAATAAGGTGTTGCTGCTCTCTATCAGACATATCTCCCAGGCTGTAGTAGCGCCCAGCCAGGTCCCCCTTCAGGCCGGACAGAGCGGTCACACACACACGCTCCACCTCACGGCGCTCAGAGCGCGAGCATGCAGGGGGGAGACTCAGTCCACGGATGCTACGCCCGGTACGGACACGAGATGACAGCACGTAGCGCTCATCAAACATTCCTGAGGTGATCTGAGGAGGTGAAAGCATTACGTCACTGCGTGTGGGAGTTTGAGCAGGTTATAGGAGGAGGATGGGATGGAGAGAAATTAGTAAAGAGAAATGCTGGTGTAACCTTTGAAGCATCCAGATCAGTGGGGTGCTTCATTGTGCGAGGATCGTAGCCATTGTGTCTATCCTTGATAACAGGATCAAAGAGCTCAGCAAACAGCTGGTGGAGAAAATAAAACACTCAGTTTCACATCTCATTTTTGGATTGTAGACACAACAACACACTGCAAACATGAATTCCAACCTCGTAGCTCTCCTCGTCTCCAGCTACCATGCCCACAGTCTTGATAAAGGGGTGTCCAGGGTTGTCCACCCCGGTCTGGATGCACTGGTCCACGGTCCACTCGTTGGAGGTGGTCTTGTCCCTCAGGTGTCCATAGATGGTGGGGGTCAGGGCTGCTGCCATGCAGTTGTTGTGCTTCCTCAGGTCAGGGAAATCAGCACTATTGGAATAAAAAAAAAAACACTTACTTATTGTTTGGACAAGAAGCTTTACAACTTACAAAACTGTTTTGAAGTCTGTAACCAAAGACCAATCACATTATAAATCCTTTAGTTTGCTTCAGCATTTTGAGAATAAATTCATACATGTCTGCATTTTTAAAAATATATTTCTTAATAAATATTATTAATTTTATTTGGTAGATTAACTGTTCCAAGGAACTTGATTTGTATGTATGCCATGCATTGTGTTTGAATGTACCTAAATGATAAAGTGATTTAATATCTCTTATTTTATGGAGAAATAATATAGGCATTTTGGCTGTATGGAGATTATTGAAGAAAGTCACATATGTACCTGGGTGGATAGAGCTTCCTCCTCTCAGCTGCATCAGCAGTGCTGTCACAGAGAAGATATCCAGATGTCAGAGAGCCAGCTCCCACGCTGGCTAGAATCACAGCCGTGTTACGGCCAGATATCATGCGGGTAAAAGAGTTCGCCATGGTTACCTGTTCTGGTTATTACCTGGTGAAAGGTCAGAGGGTAAAGTTGATTTTCCATTAACACTGTGTTTTTCTTAACGAAAAAGGTTACAATAGAGTACATTTATGTACATTTTAGTCTGTGACAACATATAAGGATAGGATTTACTACATTATTATTTAACTATTTAATATAAATAATGAAAATCCTGCATCATAAATACTTTTAATTTAGATTTACCAAGAATACTTCAAAGGTATTGCTTTTTTTGTGTATTGTATTGGGAATGCATGACTTTCACTTATAACAAAGTATTTTTACAGTGTGGTATGATAACCTTTACTTAAGTAAAAGATCTGATTATGCTGTCTACCACCAGGTTGCTGCTGACAGTCATCAAGTCTCATCAACAGTTATTACTTGAGTACTTTAGTTTACCTCTGAATACCAACGTGTATTTATACTGCTTGTGGTTATAGTTGTTTTATCTCCTTGTGGAGTTATATATGACAGCCTATGTGTTTATGTTTATTTGCGCTTCTTTACTACAGCATCCTGCCTGAATGTCACAGAAGGCATGATCTAGAAGAACATTAACACACATCTTCAGACTAGACAACTAATGTCATTAACCTATCAAGTCCTCAAGTGACAGATTACAGGATTTCAGGATGTTTGCAGATCACCAATTAAACATATTCTATATATGTCTTAATCTGTATAGGTTGAAGTCACCTGGCCATCACACCCACACACAGTATTTATAGTAGCAGTTGGTGAGGTTAAGCTGGAGTGCCAGTTTAGAGGTGGCATCAGCCCAAGACAACACATGATCCTCTCTGACAGTCTGGGCTGCTTGGCTGAGTTTACACAGAAACAACGTAAAGACAGAGAGTGGGCTTTAAGTGAGGAAGACTAAAATATAGAAAGTAAGTGAGAGGAAATTGAGTTTGAAAGGAGCTGTGGATGTTGGATGTATGAAAATAAAGACTTGTAAAGAAGCAGGAGTTGGTGATGATAGTAAAGAAGGAGTGAGGGTCAGTTGGGATTTCACAAAAGGTTAAGAAGAGAGGGGGAAAGGTTGGATTAGAGAGAATCTTGTCCCAGACTTGAAGATTAAATGAAGAGGGAAGGTAATGAGGAGAGGCACTTGTGACATGTGACCTTTCTAAAAAGAGGAAACACAAAAGGGAGGGGAGCTGTCTACCTGCTGATATCAGGCAGATTAAGAGGCCCTAATGCAAAAGGCTGCTGTGCCGTGTAGACCACATAATGTGTTATACATGTAAATCTAGTGGGCATGTAAGAAAAAAGATGATGAACACTGTGTTTTCAAAGCTATTTGAAACTTCCATCAAATATCATTAGAAAAAGTGTTCAAAAAGAAATCCTCTTAAAGTCTTATGCATACTCTACAACAATATACATGTTTTTTTTTCTTTGAAATCACCTTTTCAGAGGACAGTCACAAGTTTGATCAAAAACAAACAAGTGAATAATGTGTAAAATGCAGCCTAAAAGCTGTAAGCAACAATTGTACTCCCCACTGGAGAGGCAATAATAATAATTAATTCCTTACATTTATTATAGCGCTTTTCCAGATGCTCAAAGATTTACAAATACACATTACACATATATATTTTTTTTTTATACATGCAATGGTTACTGTGGACAATACCCACAGGAGCAAGTTCAGGTGAAGTGTCTTGCCCAAGGACACAACGGCTTTACAGACGCAGCAGCGGCGGGTTTCACCCCTTGATCTGATGATCATTGGGGTCCATCTACACGCCTCGAAGTCATCGAGGCGCTTTTACAAGTACACATTGATATCATACATGTACTGTGGACATTACCCACTGGAGCAAATCCGGGTGAAGTGTCTTGCCCAAGGACACAACGGCCTGACGCAGTGGCGGTAGGAGCGGGTTTCGAACTGGAGTTCCCCAGCACCCCCCTTGATCTGATGATCAGATGCACAGACCACTGCGCCACCCGTCCCTACAGGCAAGAAACATGGACAGGGCTGCTAGAAAGGAGAGGATGGTGAGTTTATTGCTCACCTGAGGGTTTTCTGAAGAGTTGAGGTGGCAAAGGCTGTGTGTTTCCTGCAGCTCAGTCCGGAGAGGCTCGATCTGCAGAATGAGAGCAGACTGAAGAACAGAGACGGGATGGGTGCACTGGATAAGGATTAGCCTCTCACTAGGCGTCAGACAGAAAATCCTCTTTCGACTGTCAGTCAGCATGTCTGTCAGTTTGGCAAACATTACCTCCCATGCCAATCAATGGCATTTCAAATTGATATCATCACCTATGCAATAGTGTCTCTAATTTGAATACCTTCTACTTATTTTATTTCCCAGCAATTCAAGTACAGTATTAATGATTTTCACTCAGCTGCTGTCTTAGACTGGAAAGGGCTGAGATGTCGCACCAACAGCGTTCTGGTAAACTTTGACTAACTGTCGTCCAACTGTCGCTTGGAAACAGGAGTCATGTTGGTTATTCTGCTATAAAACTCCCGCTGAGACACGATGACTTCATCGCCTTGCAAACACGCTCAACTTCTGATTCACACATCACCACTTGTTTCTTCACACTCTTCTTCTCTCCCTTTCATTCACGCTAACATTATCTCCTGCAACAAAAAAGAGCAATGTAAGTTGTTCTAACAGTGAATAGTGAACGCATATTCAACAGGGTTTCCTCTTCATACTGTAAGTGTATTATATTAAAGCTGTTAAATACTATAGATAAGAGTTATGTAATGAAACATTCCCTCACCATATTGATTGTTAGCTCACATTTATAACATGTTTAGTGTCTAAAATAATTTCAGGGGAAATTAGAGAAACACATTTTTCTTTTTTTTACACTTTTTGGTTTAACCGTAAAACAGACAAGGAGCGGTTTATATGTTTTGTACACAGGTCATCATGCCTCTGCTGTAGCAAATAGCGGCAATGCTGTACATGACCACCGCGTGGCAGGATTGCATCAGTGCCGGATTACACTACGTGACGATATGGAGGCCTACAGACAGATGTTATTTAAACCACACATGTGACGAGTCATTTGGTCCCAGTCTCATGCACCTCTCCAAGTCTACTTTTAGACCTCATCACTAAATTAAACCCATTGATGTGCAGGAGAATTTTTTTGGCAAAATAAACTGTTCCCTGATCAAAGCAAACATTTATCTCCCATTATTTTGGAGAGTGTAGTCCCACATTGTAGTATTTTTGATGCACCCTTGAGCCGTACATTATGGTGAAAAATGGACATAGAGGTTCAAATGAAGAACCGCTGTTTAGAAAAATCAGAAGGAACCTAATATCTCAATGACGAATAGCTCGAGAAAATACGCAAACATATAAGGCATGTTGAATTTATTTCTCCTGCACCGTGAACAATGCAAACAAATACACGTAAATGAAAATAAAATATAAATGTGGCATCCTGTATGTTAAAACAAACACTTGGAAATACAGATGCAGTGCAAAAAAAGGTTGTGTTTTTTTAAAGCAAAGCCTCTAAACATTTTCTTTAATCAATCTGGAACAAGGTTATTGTTGGATGAATATTTTTTTACTGAGGAGTGCATCACTTCCAACACTGCTACTCCATAACGACAGACTGATTTGCAGATGACTCGAGCTGAAAGATGTGATGTCATAAGCTACACTAAGAGACAAATGTGCCAGATTTGATGGACAAAATAGTATTTCTATGCCTTTAAACTGAGCCTCCTGACAGATACAGAGACAATATTCAAATAGAGAAGCAGAGGGAGCGTCCAGTTAGACATGCACAACATACAGCTGTTGTGTACATGCAGGACAACTACTGTATGTTGATCATATCAGCAATACAGAAAACATTCTGGTTATTCAAATGCTACATCTTTTTAACGTTCAAAAGACATCGTTTTTTTTCTTCAGAATAAAGTTAAACAGATATCTTGCAATACAAGAGGCTGGGATGCAAAACTAGATTTCAACATCAAAGCAAGATAGACAAAAAACTACAACAATAAATTAATATTCACAGCAAAACAATTTGTCATCAATCATATGATATGTGTGGAGTCACTTTATACAAAATAGCATAAATACATTATCTGATGAAATAAATAGCATGGTAAATAACGATCATACTGTCACTCAAGCGAAGCTACATCTCAGAGAGTGCAAAAAACGGTCCCAGCTTACATCCAAGAGTTACACACTAGGACTAACTACACACGTCAGTATCTGATAATTTGTAAAAGCCAAAGAAATCAAAGTGCACACATACCAAAGCTTTGGGTCGGTTATTACAATGTTTAAACACTAGAGAGAGATATTTTCTGCAATGACTTTACTGTGTTTACACTAACATGCTACTGTTTAGTCGACATTACCTATTTTCTTAAGATAACATTGTGGGGAAATTGACCTACACTAGTGGAAGGCACTGATAAATGTTTTAATTTCGTATCATTCAATTGTAAATGGAGGGCTTTAGACAAAAACCTACTATAGACAAATACAGAATTCCGTACAATGGAAAACATTAGCCACTTCATCAAAATAAATCAAATTTCTATTTAAAATTATCCAAATTATGGTATATTTCCACAATATATTTAAAGGCTTAAAGGCATATTTTCATACCTAGCCCACTGAGGATGCATAGTGGCTTAGAGTCACCCTGGTTAGAGTGAAGCATGCTAAGCTGAGGGTCAGGGGTCAGGTTGAAGGCCATTTAGACAGTTACATCCCAAGCTGAAATCATGCAAGTTTTATGCAGTGACCATCATGACATAAAGCAATTTTTTGGGGCTTATGCTCCAGGACATGGCACGGAAATGCACAGGCAACAGAACACAGACAACAGCACAGAGACACGAGCTCAGACATCTCTCTGACACACTATCTGTATATGCTACATCTCTGTTACATCCACTGTATTACACTCATCCTACACTCCATGCTCTCAGCCTTTCCTGCACTCTCAGGCTGTCTGAGGAAGTGTGATGAAATGCGCACCACATACTCCACTGAGGAATGATGAGCGCACATAGCGAAATTTCCTCAAAACCCTCACACAGTGCAACTAAAACCTTTCCTCCTGTTTTCCTTGGAGATTATAACTCCACAACCTTCTCATGCTCCCTCGGTCCCTTGGAAAAAAACAACCGTCCAACCGTCATACTTGACTCTAAAGATATCTCTCACTTCAGTCAGTGTCGCTCTTATCTTCATTTCCATGCTGCTCTCAAATCTCTCCAATTTCCTCCTGATTGATGAGATAACGTGGGCGTGTTGCCCTCGGGGGGTCCAGGTCTGGCAGGCTCCCACTGGCCACAAACAGCTGTATCTCAGGCAGGGAGCCTGGGCTCGATCTTCAGCGAGAGATCGTAGAGTGTGTCTTCATCCATGATGAGAGTCTTATCTAGCAGGTACTGGGTCACCTGGACAGAAAATATCAAAGGGGGGCATATTGTCCTGAACAGAAAAATATTCGTACATCTATGGATTATTTTAGTTGTTTTTAATTAAAGACTGAATTGTTTAACTTTTTTAGCAACTAGAGGACTAGATGTAAAGGAATAAATAGAAATGGATATGCAAATATGCAGCTTAATTTAAATTAAATGGAAATGTTAAATGGCCTGTACTTATCAGGTCTTTTCACCACTCAAAGTGCTTTACATCAACATTTTGACTGCACGAGCTGGGATCGAACCCACAACCTTCTGGTTAAAAGACGACCGCACTGCCTCACAGCAACAGTCGCCACAGATTTTATCGCACAGTTTTCTGATTGGTCCAGTGAGGGTGAATTGATATTCTCTTGATATTTCAAATTTGGTATATCATATATAAGGCATTTTAAATCATTTCACATTAGATGACCAGCACTTCCGCAAAGGATCTTTAATGTCAAACCTTGTGTTAGAGATGTACTCACTTTTAGATACTCTCTTCTAAGGTAATCTTGACAATTGACGATTTTTCTGCCCCTTTTTAAAGAACTTCAGAACTCTGTTTTTTACTGTTTTAAAAAAAAAATTGTTCGTACATGTAATCACAGTCTACTTTGCTGATGTTACTGAGAAAAACAACTCCTATTGTGAAAATATCTAAGAGACAAGTACCTTGGCTTGATGCTCTATTCTGTAAGGAGTCTGCTGAAACTGACGGATCTCTCGGATGATGTGGGATATCTAAAGAAAATGGGGAAATTAGGTGGATATTTAAAGACAAGATTACACGTAATGATAATTTTCATATTTTGTATTCATTTATGTGCGTACCATCCTCATTTTGGAGAAGTTAACAAGACCTTCGTCTGTGAAGTTGGGTGTCCCCTCCTCAATAAAGGCCAGATCTGTGAGATACATTCCCAGGTATGGCACACTTGGAGGGTTGCAGCTGGAAAAAAAAGTGTGAAGGAATTAAGCACATTATTTGCGTTCATTTTGAAAAATGTATAACGATTGATTTGCAAAGTCTCACTTTTTCAGGGTCTCCCTCAGATTTTTAAACCTTCCCTCAGACGACACAGTCTTCTGTAGTTTGTCCATCAGTGCTTTAGTCTGGACAAGATCACAAATATATATTTAATTAGACTATTTAGAGCAACAAGGAGGAACATGCATTAAACCAATGTCCTATTACTCTTAATAAAACAAGATGAAAGTAAAACTAATTTGCTCCTGCCTCTGAACATCGCAGAGACCAAATCACTTTTTGTAACCTTTTAAGATCCGGTAAACTCTATTTTTTTAGTCATACATAGAGTATTGATGGGGAATTATTCCACCTGTTTGCTGATTTTAGCCCAGGTCTTCTTCAGACGGTAGATGGCGCTGCGGTTGAGTGCAGATGTGATCTCCAGGACTCCGTTGTAGTTGTTGAGACAGCGGCAGATGTCGGCCACAGCGACCCACTTCTCTATGGAGTTGGCCCTGGAGCCCACATCGGTGTGGGTCATAATCTGGGATGCCACCAGGTTGCTCATCTTCAAAGGGAGAAGAAAAGAGACCATGAAAGTTTGGTGTTGGATATTTAAAGGGTCAAAATAAAGTTTTATAAATAAAGACATTTTGGAGCTTACATCATTGAAGTGTTGAGTAGTTTTCATGATGTATGGTGTCCTCTCTGTCTTGTCCACCTTCATCCAGCCCTGTCCCAGGAACTCTCTAAGAGAGGGGGCAGAAACATGTGGTGAGTCAAATTAGATCACAGACAATATAATATAGCAGTAATCCAAACAGGTATGTAGTGCTGCGTACCGGTAAGCCGAACCGGTACTGGACTTGTAAAAAGTTTCGGTTCAAGTCCGGTTAAAACCGGGAACCGGTACTTGGACTCGCAAACAAACTAGCACTTACGTATATTCTGGTGTCTGTGGTTATTTAAACATTCCCTGATGAACGTTATTCAGCGTCAATAAATGAGTGCTAATCCCAGTGTGCTCAGTGTACAACATCACATGTCATTTCACCTTCGATTCACGGTTTGAAAACGTAACATTTCGCCAAATGCTAATGCTAACCGGAAGTGAAGAATTTTCAGAATAAAAGTATTAAGTTAATAGTGTGAACTTCCGGTTTTTTCAGAATAAAACTGATTTAAATTAAATAGTGTATTTAATTCAAAATTACGCCATATCAACATTGATTTTAATTTCTAACAGTATGTATGTAGTATGTACTGTATAATGTACACACAGGGCCGTTTTTAGCTTTTTGGGGGCCCTATGCAAGATGCTGTTTGGGGGCCCTAGTTTTTACAGTTTTTTAACTACAATGGGGGGGATTCCGAAGCCTTTAAGATGATCTGTGGAGATGCATCAATCTGTTACACTTTAATAGGAAAACAGGCTAATTTCACGAAAACCAAGCAATTGAATATTACAAAAAATGATATTAAAAAGGTAAACAATAAGGCTCCTCTATGTCAATAAATGCAAGAGATGCAGCATTTTCTCAACAACGTTTAATTTACACTTCCTCAGACGTCACTCATTGGCTAACAGCCCAACGATGATTTGGACTTTATTACCCCAAAAACCCAAGCCACAGCTTTGCTATCATTGCAGTTTAGTCATGTTTATATCCTACATTGGATTTGTAAGCATATAATGCTTCACCGAACACAGGAGGGGGCTTGGCTGTCTACAAATAAAGACGGCTCATTTTAATTCTCCCCAAATATATTGAGGCTGAACCTGAACTTTGAATTCTCTGCTCCCATCATAATCTTGGCGATCTTGCTAAAATTGTGAATGCAGAATTATAAATACTATGTAACTGGTTTGCAGTAAATGAATTATCCCTTAATGTGGCCAAAACAAATGACATGTTATTCAATACAAAGTCTGAGAGTAGAAATGACTGCATTATACAGATTTGCAATACCGAGATGGAAAAAGTTTGTGCATGTACATTTTTAGGACTGCTTGTTGACGAAAAACTCAATTGGAAGCACCATATAAATTATGTACAGACTAAACTGTCAAAAACAATAGCTATTTTGTATCATACTAAGAACATTCTTGAAGAAAAATACTCTTTATAACAGTCTATTTATCCCTTACCTTTACTACTGCTCCGAAATATGGGGAAACACGTACTCAACAAATCTACAAAAAATAATAACATCCCAAAAAAAAAAATTACGAATAGTCTGTGGTGTTGGTAAATATGAACACACAACTCCCATATTTTAAAAAAACTCAATCTATTAAAATGTGTTGAGATAGTACAGCTTAAAACAGTACTGATTATGCACAACATTTTCCATAAGAAAATGCCTAATAACATTCAAAAGCAGTTCCAAACCACAGCGTGAACATATGAATGTAAAAAAAGTCACTTGAAAATAAGTGTTCACAATGTTTATATGCAATTATGCATATATTATTATTATTATTATTCATTTGCCAAGTACATGTGTACCTATGTATATATTTATATATAGTATTTTAATTTCCAAAAAAAGATAGTTGAAACTGCTATTGACATGTGCAGAAAATGACACTATATCTAGTTTTCATTTATTGTTTTCCTGCCCTAACTTTTATTTAATTGTTTCTCCTGTTTTCTTTATTTCTTTGTACTCCTTCATTTTTATACGTTTTTGACGCAATAATGCCGCTGTATTAGGATGATGCACGGGAGGGCTACTTTCCACAAGCTATGCTTCAGCCCTCCCGCTTCTATTCATTTTGTTCATCTTTGTGTGTATGAATTAAACTTTTTTTGTTTTTCGGATGAATAAAAAAAAAAACGTTCAGCTTGGGGGCCCCCTAGTGGCCGCGGGGGCCCTATGCCCGCCTAGTCCGCCTATAGGAAGAAACGGCCCTGTGTACACATGTTGTAGAAAATACATGGTGTACAGACAGTACAGTACACTCTGACTGTACAGTCACTACAGTGTAGCCTATACTGTATAGTAGGTGTGTAACAGTGTAATGCGTATAGTCTACTCTACACTCTACCTTTCAGCAACGTTTTAGGGATTTAGGCTCAGTCAGCTCAGGGACTGTTTGGTTACTTTAGTTTGAACTTTGTAGAAGTTCACTGTAGTTGCTGTCATAAGTCATTTGTAGACTAAGTGGCAAAAAAATTGTTTTTTTACATTTGTACTTTGTAGAGAAATGTAGACACAAGTTGGAAGGGAGCACAATAAACCTGATGAGTTTGAATTTGAGTTGATTATGAGTTAATTTTCAATTGATAATTAGCTCACAATAAGTTCACTTTAGTTACTCACACAACTTGACACAAGCCATGGGTTCAGGTCCGGACTTATAAGTCCGGACCTGAACCTGAACCTCTGGACTTGAGTCCGGACCTGAACCTGAATGTGAGTCCAGGTACGCAGCACTAGGTATGAGTAGCAAAAACGAATTAAAGGTCCCATGTCATGGCCATTTCTAGTGATCATAATTCCATTGTTGAGGTATACTAAAATAGATTTACATTGGTCAATGTTCCAAACTCACATTGGTTTCTCATACAGCATCTCTGTATAGTATGTGTATTCACTGAATTTCACTCCTAAACGCCTTGTTGGAGCTCCTGCCCCCCCCCCCCCCCCCCCCCCCCCCTCCCTGTGAGCCCAGTGTGCTCTGATTGGTCAGCTCGCCCACTGGCACGCTGCTGCGAGGAGCTGACAGTGTGAGCTGGCTTACTGGTGTGGTTTCCTGCTTGCTGCGAAACATCGTGAATGGACGCGGGAAAGGGGGGGGGGTGCTCAGGGGGCTGCAGCAGCCCCATATGCGAGGCTCCACTAGCACCCGCATCCCCCCGCACCCCCAAACATGGCACACCTACAGTGTAAGCGTGCCACAGTTTCGCCGCGCTGCGAGGCTCCACTAGTGCCCCCCCCCCACCCCAGCGCGTCACAATTTTGCCGCTAAAATAGTGTGTGTGTGTGTGTGAGGAGCTCCACGGATTGGTCCAATGGGTTCATTTGGGTATGGGCACGTCACTATACCCAGGAAGGAAATTATGGAAAAGGGGAAATCTTGAACAAGGCGTTCTGGGGCAGCATAGACAGGTATTTTCTGTGTTAGAGTTTTACTCGCTACAGGGTGTACTTTGAGGGTTTGTGACTTAGCAGACCGTTTACATGCATACAAACCTTCATAACACACAAGGGGTAATAACCGGAAAAGCATGACATGGGACCTTTAAGTAAAGACATTGGTCTAATGAAGGCTGTGGAGAAGTCAAGAACTGAACTACAGTAGGTGAGCATTGCAATAGTGTTGGAGGAGAATCTTGCATTGTCATCTAGCCAAATGTAATTTTTTGGGAAACTACAAAACACACATTTGTTTCCATCAATTATTTAAAAGTTGGCTGTGTTTGTTATTGTTTTAGCTGGGGTATAATTCCATAAACTGACAATTTGGATATGTTTTATTACGCCCCAAAAGTCTAAGATATCTTTTGTGTCTAGGGCACATAAGAAATACATAAAATGGGGATACATTAAGACTTTTAATCTGTTTTCATAGATACAGTAAGTATACTGTATATGTTGTTTCAAAGAGGAAATACACATTTGCAACCGTAAAAACATAATGTAGAGTTTAATTAAACGTAATCCCCCATACCTTACACAACCAGCAGTAAAGAAAACATAGTGATGTCCATATCTAGTAGGTCAATATCTAAAGCAAAACCTGTGGTGATTAACTGGTCTTGTAATTATAAGCAGTATCCAAAGCTGATTTAGTTTAGTTTGGCCTGATGCAGATGACAGAGTTATGAGAGGACTGACTCATAAGGAATGCTTCTGAAGACGATGTGATCCAGAAGAGTGATCTGCTCTGCCAGCTCCATCGCTGAGAGAGACTCGAAACACTCTGCCTTCGGACAGTCGGCCTAAACACACACACACAAGCACACACACACATAAACACAAACACACCGCACAAATGAATTTTCACACCAGATAACAAGGAGTTATAAATATCTAATAAAGAGACAGGCTTTGATGATGACAGTTGACAGTTCCCTGGAGACCGTCACCGTCATACAATGATGTGTACTAGGCAATGCTTTTCACATCTTTCAAAAATAAATATGTGTGTGTGTGTGTTTCCCTGTCGTGATTTAGCCAATGTCATAAACCAGAGGCACTCATGACTCCTGATTATTTTAATCTCTGGGAGTTTATAAAGTATTTATTGAAAATCTGCAAGTACTTTATTTTATCCCAGAGAGGACCACATTGTATTCAAATAAAACAATTCGATTTTTGTATTCATCTTGGGGGGGAAATAAAAGCTGCTGACTCAGCTGGTCTGTGATAACAATGTGTTTACATTATGCAGTACAAGTTAGAAATAATTGTCTCTGCAGTTTCCAGATGCTGCATTGATCCAGCAGAATAATATCATATCAGAATTATCATGAAGTCCTGACAAGTTTGCAATGACGCACTAACCATCTGTAGGATGTCCTCTATCCTCAGCTGGGCATCGTCCTGCTCATCGAGAGAAAGGGCACTAGAAGACAAAGTGGAATAGAGTAAAATTCTACTGAATAGTACAGGAATTTTTATTTAACAGAATAGATTGGAATAGAACAGAATACAACGGAACAGAAAATAAGCTTTCAATATAACAGAAATTAATTAAAGAGAATAAAATAGAACAGTATACAATACAGAGCAATGTAGCAGTATTGAAAACATATAACATAATAGGACAGAGCAGAATATAGCAGAATAGAATAGAACAGAACAGAATAGAGTAGAGTACAGTAGAGCATTGCATAATATAATAAGGGAATGTTTTCATGCTAATATATTACATAAGACAATTTTATCGAGTGACATTTTAAGTGCTTCATATTACGCATGCTTGTACCTCAGTATGTTGGCAGTAGCTTTTCTCTCCTGAGGCAGAAGGTCAGGATCTCTGAGCACCTCCTCCAGGAGACAGATCACCGACATCTTCAGCTCCCCGTTCATCTCAAAGTCCTAAACAAAAAACAAAACAAAATGTTATTGTTCAAATGAACCTGAGGGACATACTAAGGATTCTCCAGCACCCATCAACTAGTACAGTAACATTAAATGTTCTCACTTGCTAATTATTTTCTCTAGAACTTGGTCTAAATTCTTCTTTTTCTTCAAACTTTGTTGAAATCTTAGGTTAACATGTTGTAGTGATTTACATTTAGAATATTTGACCTAATTTAATTGATAGTAATTATATACATACTGTAGTAGAGCTTGAATTGTCATTTTATCTAACATTTTTCACATTGCCATAGTTTAGTAATTGTTAAGGTTTCGGGACTGATGCACAACATACAGAGAAGGGAATGTATTATACGTATATTACTGTTGTGTCGTCCAACTGTTGTTTGGGTGATTAAAGTAGGTTTTATCCCAAAGGTAGTTGTAATGCATTGAGAGAGAAAACTTTCGTGTTACAATCTGAAAAACGTAGAATGAATTTGTAAAATAGCAAGATGTCTCTCTTGCGCTAATCCATCCAATCTAAAGACTGATAAATTAAGCTGACAAGGCACTGATGCAAAGATATCTTTTAAATGTATCCTGTAAATCTCTTTTAGCCACATCGTCCTAATGGCTTATTACACTCACTCGCAGTATCAAATGTATGGTGACATGTCTGCATGTGAAAAATGTTTGTAGTTGTATGTGTGTACTTGACTTATTTCTAGTCTCCACCTATTTGTTTGAGCAATCGTCAATCACTGCTCTACAATCCTTTATGTCTGCTGACTGTACATCCTCCTCCTGTACCCCCTCATTCCTGCCAGCCATTACTGCTTCTTTTCCTCTCGTTTCCCTTTCACTCCCTCCCCAATTCAACTCCTGTTCAAAGGTCAGTTTTAACAAGCTCTTTGGCCTCCTGAGCTAAAATGTGAGTGGGTGTATACGTGTGCATGTTTGTGCTTTGTCTCTGTGTTAATAAGCCGACTAAAGCTGGCCTGTCATCACGGCATTTTGTGCTATTGAAGAAAATACATAAAACAGATCGATTCAGTTGGACTTCTGGGGGGAGAGTAAGGCAATTACTGTGATGTTCACTTCAATAGAGGCAACACTGGCTGTTTAGCAGAAGAGTAGGTGGACTGAGGCGAGTTGAGATGATTCTACAGTTGACAGGACAACAACGTTCAGCGTGTATTTGTGTGCATATGGTTGTTTATATGCTCAAGAGAGGGCACTGGAGCAGAGAGAACGCATCAGACGTCTGCTTTAATGAGACCACAGATTTGATCACCTCAGCAAAAACAGGGGACCAAACACACACACACACACACACACACACACACACACACACACACACACACACACACACACACTCAGACTGACCTGTGAGTGTTTGGACACCCAGTGCCGCAGCACGTTGAGAACTCTGTTAGTTGCAGCTCGGCGGATGATAAACTCTTTATCACAAGTTCTCTCAGAGTTATTAAACACTGTAGAAAAAAATAAGGAAAAAGAGAGACGGATAGAATTAGTTATTACTGTGTTAGTATATATACATCTTTCACTAATTACCTGGGGCTTATCTCTATTTTCCAACTAAATAAAATAGGTCAGTGATAAAAAACTTATAAAAGTTCAATTATAGCACTCGAAAAATGCTTTAATATAAATATTTTAAACGTTTACAGAAGTAAAAAAAAATTGCAGCAAAATGTACCTAAATATGAAATGTAATAGTGTTTTAATGTGTCAAGGATTATTGTGATTCTAAAGGGTTATTTCACACTTATTGGATAATCCACAGAGAGAGAAGGGGTTTTTAACAATGATTTTTTTAATATATAGATTTCATCTCCGTTTTGCGATTTGGTTGATCAATCTATTAACATTTAATATGTCTCAATTTTGTGATGTTTTGCTAACACATTCTATGACAAAGTAAAGAATACTATATATTGTTTTAAAACTTCTGTACTTTAACATTTTTTATTTTTTTTGGGCCTTTTGCGGTTTTTACAGTCATTGTAGGTAACATTTCATTCCCAAGGCACTGCGAAAATACAGAAGCCGCCAGATTTAACAGTTGAGCTAATTATGGATTTGAGTCCTCTTTTAAAACCAGTTAAGCAACATCTTGCAAGAAACAGCATCTGAGGGCTTCTTAACATTTAATAAACTATGAATGTGTCATACCCACTTAACGGGAAGAAACTCAGCTATCAGACAATATTAACAATTTTTAGCTAAACAAAACACAAGGGTAATATCAAGCCTCTGAATTAGCCCTGAGCGAAAAAATGCTAACGCACTTAGCACAGAACTCACGGTATAAATACTTTATTACTTATCGGATCTGCACAAACAAAATATCAGATTAAAGCTGAGATTCCACAGATTCTAGAGGTATGAGTATCATCACTGTGCGACCAAAACAGTGAAGGAAAACCCAGACAACACACCACGTAGCTTTACAGAGCCAAAACGGCAAATATGTCCTTTGCTGTTTTTCTGATCAAAAGTTGTGTTCAATGGCATTAAAACGATAAAAACGCTGCTGAAGGTTAATCCAATGTCTCTGTGTCCCTTTGAAATGATAACTGATAATCCATCATCATATTTATGGCCATAACCTAGTTTTCAGTTTTCAGAGCGTAACATAGCTTTCGGTTTTGGCAAGCTGCGTGCGCATCACTCTCATTCCTCAATGGTAACGTGTAGGTGGATTTAGGAATCTCCCTCTCTATTCTATTGGCTCTAACGGTTCAAAAGAGGTGTAAATCATCAAAATCGACCGAGGGGGGCCAGAGATATGGCAAATCCCACCTAATGACCCCAGAAGTGTTTCCTTTGTTGCTAAACCTCTCTAAAAAGGTAAAATGTCACTTGTTTTGCATCAATCTTGATACAGGGTACTTATTATAAGTTATAGTTTGGATTCCTAAAGCTTTTAGTCTACCATCCCATCATTCAAGGGTGATTTTCACTATAAGTAATGTTTTTTTTTTGGAAGGACACTATAATTTACATTGTTTTACTATGTTCAATCTGAATTTACTTTAAAATAAAAATAATTATTTATTGATTCTGACTCTTCTACATCCAACTCACAGGTTTATCATTGCTTTGAGAAAAAAGATTATTAATTTACCCCTTTTAGAAGGGAAGATATGGTCATTGTTCTGGGAATTACATTTTTTAGCCTGAGACCTGAAAAACAGGCTTGGGGCTTAACTGGGTAGACCTTTTAAAACTTGCAACCTATACATTTTACAGGTTCGGGTAAATGCTATCCGATACAAGTATTACAACTATTATAAACTGTCACAAGAATCAAAATATGTGTACCGTGTTATTTTGAAGGCGCCATTGAACAGATATTTTCTTTATTTACATTTGTGTGTGTTTGTGCGTGTGCGTGTGTGTGTGTGTGTGTGTGTGTGTGTGTGTGTGTGTGTGTGTGTGTGTGTGTGTGTGTGTGTGTGTGTGCGTGTGTGTGTGTGTGTGCGTGTGTGTGTGTGTGTGTGTGTGTGTGTGTGTACCTGGTGGTGAACCATGTCCTGCTGCTGCTGTGGCGATAGCAAAGGCTGACACGGGAGAGACTGAGCAGCGTGAGTTCTCCCCTGACTGGACTGCAGAGACACAGTTTTATTTTGTTTAACTAAAGTTCAAATTGCCTATTATATTAATTGAATTTAAAACCCCATTGTCCTTTGTACACCTTATCAATAACCAAACAGTTGCTAGGTGCTTTGTAACCCTCTGATGAAACATACAGATAAGTATGATTAACTGCTCATGTAAATAACAAAAATGGGATGGTTAAGTGACTTTAACCACATTTTCAAACTATCAATTTGCATAAAGTCAAATTAGTTTGTAGACATTGGCAAAGTATATTCAACTAATTTACTAGTTATTTAAGGCATAAACATGTGAAACGGATAATTATTCATTTGTACTAGTGTTTTTGAGTGTTATAAATAAATATAATTTATATGAATTATGCAAAATGTAAAATATTTCAATTAAACTATTTGTAACTGTTTGTCTTTGTCATCACTTACAAACTCATAACCATTGTCACCGTCATTCCTGTTATAGACACATTTTAGACCAAAAATGGTGCGGTTAGCAATATGTCCAACAACCTTCTCAGGAATATTAACTGTTATCATATGAAGGAAAACAATCCCAAGGCACTTACAATAACACTCACTCAGTCACACATGACCAGTTATGCTATTGTCTGTCTGTATTGGGGCTTTATATTATGCTGTTCTACAAAAGATGTCTGCCTCCTGGGTCAGGGAACTTTGCTTGGCTCTGCAGAGGGCCTCCAGCTGTGGCACTGTGGTCTAGTTATGAGTCATTAAACCACACAAACACATAGTACACACACTTAACCTTACACTTAGCCTAACCCTAAACCTAACCAAGTCTTCACCCTAAAATGAATGATTCCCCTCATGGGGACCTCCAATTTGTCCCCATAAGGGAGGCGAGTCCCCACACGTGACTATGTAAACAGATGTAGGTTCCCACAAGTATAGTAATGCTAGGCCACACACACACACACACACACGCACGCACACACACACACAAGCACACACACCTCCAGGCTGTCTGTAGCGCAGGTGTCGAGGTGTGGAAGGGGAGCGGCTTGGAGACATGTCTCCTGCTTCACTGCTCTGGGGAGACTCTGGGATGATTTTCTCCAGCGACACCGACTCCAGCACAGCTAGAGAGGAGGACAGGGGAGACACAAGGCTGATTAGGATGATGATGGTGATGGTACTGTGTCTGCCCTACTGGAAAGTAATTTATTGCGCATAAGTTCAAAGCCATGCAGAGATCAGTCAGTAGCCTACAGCCAGTGGGTTTGTATATCGTTAATGTTTTTTTTTTTACTAGTATTTTAAATCTCACAATAAGAAACATTTCTGCACCAGCCAACACCTATTCGTTGTACATACATATTAAGAAAACACAGCTACTGTAGGTGGAAATAATACATCTTGTGTTGCAGTGAGCCTCACTTTGACCCACATGAACAGGGTGTTAATAACAGTTTTCAATTTGAGGGTTGCAGTAGAAAAGCACCTGTGGCTGCAAGCAAACAATGCAGGTTCATCTGTGGCTAATTCAACGCTAATGTAATACAAAGTGATTGGTAATCACATATTGTGGTGGCTGAAACCACCCAGCAACTCATATTTGAGGAATGGAAAAACATTCAAACTTGGGACAAATGCTTGTAAAACACTGGAATTTCACAAGAAATCTGAAAGGCACAAACGCTACATGCTAGCATTTGAAAAGTACTATGCATAACAAGTTGCTCGTTGCTACTGTTAGTTGGAGTTAAATGCTAGAGAAGATATGTGTTTTGGCAAATACAGTTCGTCTTCAGGCACACCAGTCAGATTAAGAACTGTTCTTATAGTTATGTTAGTTAATGTACACTGAATATTTTATTTGTTGAAATTCAATAAAACTCATTAACAGTGTAAGTTGTCGTGCGGTTGTTTCTTTTCTTTTGCCAAGTTGCTGGTAACATTCTTTCCTTTCACAGGTATAACAAAAAAAACGTCTTTACATTTGTACTTAAAGGTGTGCAGATAACCCTGTATCCTATGTTTTACACTTATTAAACCATTCAGTAACCCCTTGTTCCCAGTATGTAAGCATCTGCATATAACATTTCTTTGCTCATTTGATCAGATTATTCCTGCCATTTGTCTCCCATGTGTATATTTCCTCTATGTCAAGTAAACACTGTAGATGCTCTTATTACTAGTATCGTATCCTGGTGTTTTGCTTTGGAAACAAATATGTTGTTTTATTTTTAATGTATTCCATTTGGATTAGACAGACATTTCCTATTTCACCTGATGGCTATTCGACATATGCTCAGAAAGTGCTATTGGCTCTCTGTCTCCTGGTGAGCTGTTAGCTGCTGCCAAGCACGCTCATGCACACACACTTACGCCCACACAAACACACACATTGTATGTGTGCGCACATGCTAATGATGGACTCACTGCAGCTTTTCCTTGCTGTGCTGCTTCATATGCCCTGACACTCACTTTCCCTTCACAGAGGGATGTTTAACACAACTGTTAGAAGATCTGAGCTTGTGCAAAGGGAAGGCAACTTAGCTGACTCAAGCTCACACACACCCAGCTGAGGATAGAGGACATCCTACAGATGGTTAGTGCGTCATTGCAAACTTGTCAGCAGTGTTACACAATTAAGCTGTTATAGACCCCTTAAAATCATCTTTATGTTACAACATTGAGAATTGTACATCTGTATCTCTGTAACCACATTAATAACTGTATGCATTAAAAGAACAGTTGACAGAGATGTGTGAATTTACCGCTCACATTCCAAAATGTGCTATTAATTGGGATAACCTCTCATTTAGCTATAGATGTACTCTAGGGATTGTCAGTAGTACACAGTGATACCACGGTAAGTATACATATTGTTTGCACTGTATTTGTGTGGGAACATACATCTGCGGATGCTCCGTCTCAGTTTTCCACCGAAGGGGTCAATCTTTGGAACATCCTCCCCCTCTGCAGGCGAGCAGGGACTCTGGTCTGGGGATGTGGGAATGGTAGGACCTTGTTCCTGTGGTGGCTTTGAGTTGTTGTTCGGTGGGGGAGAGGTGGAAGAGGGAGGAGGAGGAGGAGAGGAGGGGGTCGGAGTTGGGGTCTGAGGTGTCAGGGCTAGGGGGGTGGTTGCAGATGTGGGGCTGCTGGCGGCAGACTGGGAAGTGTTATGGTTGACGCTGGAGCTTGACAGAGGACTGGTGAGGTCGAGGCCTCCCACCCTGGCAGTGATGGGGGAGTGGAGGGAGAGCTTTCGTGTTCGGACAGGGGAGGAAGTGCGGGATTGGATGGACAAAGGAGGGGGAGAGGAAAACTTGCGGCAGAGACGAGGAGATTTGTCGTTCATGTGCTCGCCCCCTCTGTTGTTCTGGTTGGTGGCAAAGAACAGCTCCAAGGACCTGGAAGGGGAAACAAGATAAGCAGATATTTTAAAAAGAATAACAAGAATTGTGTAATTGCTGCAGCTCAACAAAATGACTTCTATGTCTGTGAACCTTTACTGTTCAATAGCTAAACTAATTGTCAGTTTTCTTGTATCATAGACATACAGTGTATCTGATTTAGGGTCAAATTATTGTGTATTCAGAGTTTTAAAAAAAAGTAGAAGAAGAAGTAAAAGACAGTGCCTCAAGGCACACTGGGGACATCTAAGCTTGTAATGTTACACAATATAAGAACAGCAGAAAATATATTATTATGTTGTGTCTACTCCAGCAAACTTTGAGTTTGAATTAAGGGGTATTTATATTCACCTCAGATGAACAGTGTAGGGATTTAAGAACAGGAGGTAATTGGGAAAGGTAACATGAACTTAATCATTATCTCTACAGATTCAAAGGATAAAATTACATTATGAAATGTAAATCGGTTAGTTCGTAGTGAAGAACCCGCAGAAAATCATTAGCAGATTATGCCGTTCCCCTCTGCTCTATGGAGCTTCTATCAGCTTTTCTATGACCTGATTTGTACTGCTTTAGTTCACTCTGACTGCTCTCAGTGTGATTCTGAGCTGTATTTAAATTGGAAAACTCTGAAATACTCCAGTCCTAAAATTGTGGGACTACCGTATGTATAAAATGGGTTCAAGTAACCAAGTCAAGGGGGGGTTCATAAATCAAGCTGTGTCTGAACCCCCTCAAAAATCCTTAAATCGGAAAGTTGCTGACTGTGATATTAGTTCCCGATTAAGTGCCCTAAAGCCCGCGTCACACCGTCCCGAAATTGACACCAGATGGACACACGATAAAGGCAAGGCAAGTTTATTTATATAGCACTTTTCAACACAAGGCAATTCAAAGTGCTTTACAAAAAATGAAAATGGCATTTAAAATCAGTCATTAAAAAGAAAAGCTAATAAAATAAACATTAAAATAAAAAATACATGGATAAAAGTTACAGTGCAGTCAAGTTCAATTAAAAGCAGCGACAAAAGTCTTCAGCCTGGATTTAAAAGTAGTCAGAGTTGCAGCGGACCTGCAGGTTTCTGGGAGTTTGTTCCAGATATTTGGAGCATAATAACTGAACGCTGCTTTACCATGTTTAGTTCTGACTCTGGGGACAGAAAGCTGACCAGTCACTGAAGACCTGAGAGATCTGGATGGTTCATAATTTAGCAGGAGGTCAGAAATGTATTTTGGGCCTAAACCATTCAAAGCTTTATAAACCAAATGATAAAGGAAATGTTCAAATTCGGCTCTAATCATAACAACATCGGGCCATTCGTGAGGGCATCTTAAGCCATCGTATGACCGCTGGTGGAGTTTCTCAGGCTCTGGCAGCAACTTCGTGAGCGGTGGCAAAAAATTGCCCAAGGACCTTGCGAAGGTTCATTTTCGTGTTGAATTCGTGTGTCCATTTTGTCCTTCGTAAGGCCATCGTGAGGGCATCTTGTCAAGTCGTGTCATCTTCGTGTGATCATTGGTGGCATCGGGCATTTTTCGCCTCACGAAGACAATACGAAGGAAACAAGAAGCTGCCCGGTTGTCTTAGGAAGGCAACACGACTACGTGAAGCCCTCGCAATGCCGTCATGTAGTCATCGTATTATAGTACGATGACATCGAGATTGCATTTATTGCACAACAAAATCATGTAAACATATTATGTAAATTACCCAATTTGTGTTCTGTGAAACTGAAAAGGATATTACATTGTTTTTGTTACTTTTGTTGCAGTTGTATGTCTTAAATGTAATTTAGGTTAACTTCCTGTTTTATTTAGATGCTTTTATTTAGTTGCTTTTATTTTGAAGGCGAGTTTACGCTGTTGACAGGAAGCTGTTGTTGCTATGGAAACAACATGACGGAGATAAGTAATATCTTCTAATCGAATAAAGTGTATGTTTAAATGTTAGCATCCCCCGAAGAGGCAGAAGCTCTTACGTTGAGTCTGGATACATTCTAAATCATCAGTAAAGTCTACGACCATATTTTCGTGTGTGGTTCGGGTGCCATCGTGTGGCCTTCTGTAGGCATCGTACTTGCTTGGCTGTTGACCAAGTTCGGGGCCATCTTCGTGAGAAATTCACAATTCCATCTGGTGTCAATTTCGGGACAGTGTGACAGGGGCTTAAGCGAGGAACAATTTAGTCAGCTTTCTAAATTCTAATAAGAAAAACATCAATCTTTAATTTCAGATAACATTCGCAACATTTAAACACATTATTTACCAGGCAATGAAAGTGCAAAAGCTTTTGAATAACAAGCACTTTGTGATGACATTAACATTGCTCAGAAAGTCGTGTGTACTGAGCTACATTAAGGGAGGAGTAATCATGCATAGATAAACACATCCATCATTTATTCACAAAAGCCAGATATTCAGCAGGAAATAGAGGAACAAATTGCATCCCAGTTCGAAAGAAGAGAGGGAGAAATTAAAGGCATATAGAGGACAATTCCAAAAAATCAGAGCAAAAGATTGCTGGAGAACTTTGAAGCAGGTAGCGGAAGATGCTTAAGAGAAGGATATAAAGCATGCTAAAGATGAATGTCAAAAGGGATCAATATGAATACAGAGTAAAAAAACAGCCTTCAGGAAGTGATTCTCCAGTGAGAGAACATGCTACAGACCGGCTGCAGAATCTACGAAACATTTCCCTTCTCCCATTCCTGTCTTACGAAATAAAACCCCTGCAATTGTTCAAACTGGTAGAAAAAGAGAGATAGCCAGTAGATAAAATTGTAAAGGGAAAAGTCATGCATCAGTAAAGTTTCAGACCAAGACCAGAGGAGAAGAACAGCAGGCAGGAAACGTTGGAAAGAGACAGAAAAAAGGAGGACAGAGAGTAGGTTACTTGGACTGATCCATGGTTATCTTCTTGATCTTCAGACTGTAGTCGGGACAGATGGATGAGATGGACAGACGGTCATATGAGTGGTACTGCGCCCTGTAGTTAGAGGGGACATGAAGAGACGGGGGATGGATGAAACAGAAAAATGATTAAATGGATAGGGTGATGGTTGAATTGACAAATGAAAATGTATAAGCAGTAGATGTGACGAGATGGTTTGAGGGAAGATGATGGAAGGTAGATGAAGGTGATATATGAATGTCTTGGAAGAGGAAAGGTGTGTTTAAGGGGAGGGGGGCACAGTGTGAGTGAGGAACAGCAGCACATGTTTAATCTCCCAGATATAAAACGCATGGGAGCAAAAATCCAGTGTGAAACAGACACAGAGAGCTGGGTGAAGGCCTTTGATTTGCGTTTGTATGATTGATTTGTATGTGTTTATGTGTGTGTCCATAACAGTGGCAAGCAAAGAGTCTCTATACCAGGAAGGGGCATGAATAGATTTGGGCCCTTATCTAAAAACAAGGGGGCACCAAAGGGAGACTAACTTTGAAAGAGTTCCCAAAGTTTCACTCTAATCATTTGTAAAAGATTGAACATTGCATTCAATCAACAAAAATTATTAAGACAAGGACAATTAATTAATGCAACATAAAGTGCAGTACATCTGATATAAGTTGTAAAAGAGCCATATTCTGTAATATTGAATGAATGTTTAAAAATAAATTCACAAATGTAAAACAAGACTAAGGGTCTACAGCCATGCTAGTGGCTCTGTGAGGCTATACTTGAACCAAGCAGTGCTTAAAGGTTCAGTACATGCTCATATCAACCTGATAAGTTGATGTTTATTAGGTATAATGTATGCTAACGTTTGCTAGTTAGCGCTAAACACAAATTATGACTGATATCGGTAGTCTATAGAATGTATCCTGTGGAAAACATTCATGTCTTCATACACTTTAATGGTAGTCCATTCATTAGTTTTTGAGATACATATTTCAGTCTGGACTAAAGAGTTGTCCTGACTGAACAATGTAAAGCCAGCATAGCCAAACACCAAAATAAAAACAAAAAAAGTACAAAACAATCTAAAAATAGTATATTGGAGAAACAAACTGTGAAAAATTGATAATAAACCTCCTGTAATACTGGTGGTGGATGAAGGAAAGAAGTGCATTAAATGTTTTACCAGAGGGATACTTTTTGCTGCTCATGTGCCCACCTCAAATGACATTAGAGAGACATTATGTATTTCCTGCTAAAGTAAAGCTTTAGGAAAGGGACTGGACTTGGGCCCACCCCCCCCCCCCCCCCCCCCCCCCCCCCCCCCCCCCCCCCCCCCCCCCCCACCCCCCACTACCCTCCCTGCACACCTCTGGTCTCTGGATGAGTCCTTCAGGTCTCTTCCAGGGAAGGCAGCCACAGGCCATGGTGAGTTAGACCTTAAATACAAACCTGCCCTCAAGGGCAGAGGAACAGCTTTTCCAATTTAAAAGTTAAATAAAATCAAGGAAGGAATATAAACACTCAATTCTGCAGCAGCCAGAGACCTCATAAGAGAGTAGGAGCATGAAGAAAGTGGAGCAAGAGTTAGAGAGAGAAAAACTCCCCATTTAATAGAATATTCCCACGGCTGAGCCAAAAACGTTGATGAAGCATCTGCTTTGCTGGTGTTTGTTTCAGCCAGTATGTTCTTAACCTTGTGGAAAGAGTTCAACGCACTAACCACATCTGACTATATAGAATTGTAAAAGGAAAAAAAGACCCAGAGCATGTAATGCAAATGTACCCTTGCATATTCCATACTCTCAAATAGACAAAATACAGAGGGATACAGAAAAACAACAAGTGTACGACTCTTTTTCTGTGTTCATGAATGCACATTGATGTGTTTGCATTGATTGACCTGATAGGTATGGAGGAGAAGGGCTTCTTGTAGATGTCGGCCAGTTTGTCCATGACGACTGTTGCCGTGGTGAAGATCCTGTATGTGTGCAGGAAGGTGTTGAGGAAGTCTATGGAGAGGAAGCGCAGGTCGGTCAGCCTCTCCAGCAGCCGCTCCACGCTGGCGTAGCGGATCTGGGGGACCTTGCAGGAGTTGAGCGTCTTGCTGAAGCAAATGTCAACATCATCTTTATGGAGACGCACATCGGATCTGATGAATACACACGTACACACATACACACACAACCGAGCATGGGTGACTGCTGTGCTGCTAAGAAAGGAAAGTAACTGAGCAAAAACAGCCAAGTAAAATAGGAATGGATAAAATAAAATAAATGTATTCCACAAAAGAAAGCTAAAATAGAGAATGGATACCAAATAATATTTTTGAGCATGTATAAATATAAAGAAGCATAAAGAAGTACAGCCTAACAACATACTGTACACATACCACAGCTGATACAGATTCATCCAGGAATGCTACATCATGTTTTACAACACTGGCATATAGAGATGGGTGTTCCTCTTTACACACACAAAAATACTTACTTGATCATATGAGGCACAGTGACTTTAGAGTTCTCCTCAAATACACTGGTCATCAAGCCATTACAGCGGATATTATCTATACACTGCAGGAACAGAGAGAAGAGGACGATACATTAAGGATTAAAGTAAAAGAAAGACAGTAGGAGAGGGTTTGTTGGACCAACAGTATATAAAAGGCCATGCCCTTTAGATTTACCTTGATCTACTAAATTGTATATCTGTTACAGTAGCTCCAAATGAATTCAAACAAATGCTAGAAAGATGTTTTGAAAGTCTGGTTAATAAGAGTTTGAGGGGGAAAAGAAGCCCTATGCAAGCGTCAATGTATTTTTTGTCTGATAAGAATGAATCCAGGCTGACATGTTGCTACTCTGTGAAGTACCGAGGCAGTAAGCTGAAGTCTCCCCATGGGGAGCTGCACCCTCGTCTGTGTTTACTTATTACTAAGCCTTCCCAATGCCCACAGAGACACCCTCTTGCTATTTGGAGGTTCTTGTTATTCCGCGTTTGTCTGTGTGTGTGTGTGTGTGTGTGTGTGTGTGTGTGTGTGTGTGTGTGTGTGTGTGTGTGTGTGTGTGTGTGTGTGTGTGTGTGTGTGTGTGTGTGTGTGTGTGTGTGTGTGTGTGTGTGTGTGTGTGTGTGTGTGTGTGTGTGTGTGTGTGTGTGTGCATAAGTGTGACTTTGTGTGTTACCTGGCTAATATCACTGGTCCATGCCGCCTTCTCCTGTCGCGATGGTGCCAGTAACACCACGGTGAATGAAGGTGCGTCTGATGGCTCAATCACAAGCTTAAAGTCCAGCTGACCAAATACCTGACCGCCAGCTTTAGCTATATGATTTAGGAAAAAGAAAGAGCTTTTTTTTAAGAAACACAGCAATCCTCTTAATGATAGTAAAATAGATGTTTCTGCATGTACACACACACAAACACATACACACACACACACACACACACACACACACACACACACACCACACACACACACACACACACACACACACACACACACACACACACACACACACACACACACACACACACACACACACACACACACACACACACACACACACACACACACACACACACACACACACACACACACACACACACACACACACACACACACACACACAGGGTTAATTAAGTGAACCTGTAATCTCCATTATACGCACCCCTGAGATTGTTTCAGCCCTATGTGTATGTATCTGTGTAGGTGTTTCATCAATATCACTATTTGCAAAATGAAACCTCAGAAGAAGAAAAAAAATTATGCAAATCAATGTCAAAAGATTAAAACCTGACATTTAAAGGGGTGGTGATCTGATATTTAAAGGGAAGTAATTTCTGGACACTTATCATCTGACACCTAATTAACCTTCATGAGGGGTGAAGGGCCTAAATGAGCCATTAAGAGCTGCCTGGTTGTGTGCACTAACATAGACGCAGTGCTTCATAGATGTGGTAAACTTACACTCCTCGTCGCTGGCATCTGGTTCCTCAATGAGTGTGCAGTCAATCAGGGACAAAACTCCACCTTGCTGCAAGAACAATTTATTTTGGTTAGAGGTGGCAACCAATTAAAGGTTTCCACACTGAGATCCACTTCAGCTCCTGAGGTGAAGTTGTTCTCACCTTGAGAAGGTGCAGTTTTCCTCCAGAGCTGCGAGTGCAGACAAGGAAGTGTTTGGTGAAAAGGAAGCACTGCCGCTCCCCTTCCTTCTTCAGAGAGAGCGAGCCCAGACGGACCTTACTAAGCTTCCCTCGCTCCACCGATGGCAGCTGGATCAGAGAGCCTGAGGAGGGAGGGGCACAGCACTTTATTACGCTGAAACTAAGCTCAAACTGTGTGTCTGCGAACCATCTAAAGTGGCTCAACAAAACAACAAAAAGCAACATTTCTGATCAACTATATTCTGCACACTGAAATGTAATGTGTGCACCTGAGATATAAGGACACAATATGAAGGAGGAGATCATTACAATGTGCACATTCAGCAGCACAAACTATCTTTAGTAGAAACATTGAAACAAGGGAAGACATGCAGTGTCATATCTGATGTCAACACTTCATGCATGAGTGACCTTATCAAATCAAGAGCCCAGATACAGTAGCTCATTAGGGTTTGCACACTGTAGCAATTAGCACACTTCTTAATGAGCACTGGTGCAGATATAGTTCAGTGCTGTTCTTAAGAGCACATAAACGGTATAAAGATTTTGCAGTTCTTGGACCAGTGCCATTATTGGACTGTCACTCCAACCACTTGTTGCAAGAAGTAATGGCTAATTAACACAGTACAATTTATGGAGTACATTTGAGATAGTGACCAAGAAATATTTTGTTTTGTTAGCTTGGACAGGCTGTAGGTTCTGCCACCACGCTAACACTTAAACATGCATGATTATTCACAGGCGATTCGTGTATCTCCATGGCAGGAGAATAAGAATTTGTAGAGGCTTTACATCTACAACATAACAATTTGACATACACTTTTGCCTAGAGCAATTTACAATAAGTGCACTGAAAGGGAAGATAGTACAAATGCTTAACCGTATTTCATTTTGAAAAGGGTAATTGGTTTAATCTGACAGTTTCATTTAGGAAACTGCAAAAAATAACATGAAATGTGATTAAACTAAATGAGTACAACATTCTGTTTTGACGGCTAGGGAAAAATTCGGTAGATAATGATTCTTACATAAAAGTATTCTCACATAGAGCCACATCTCCCACAGTAGAAAGTATTATGGTGGCTAATGTCATGATTCAGTGACGGAGCTAGGTGCTGTGTCTGTGTGTTTCAGATCACAGGCTGTCAGGTTGGAGGGTCTTATGGTCGGGAAAACCTCCTGAGCTGTGCTGTGAACCGATGAAGACTTACCCTGCCTGACGAAGGTCTGGCTGGTATCCAATAGGATGTCACAGCCCTCCACTATCATCCGCTCTATGGCCAGGTTCTTCCGGATGTTTTCTGTGTCACTCACCTCATCATGCATCACTCTGGGCACATACAAACATGACAGTTAGTTCAGTGTTCAGTATCAAAATGTGTCGAGATATATTTGTTTATAAATCGGACAACTCCCCAAACACATACCTGGACAGGTCCTCTAATTTGGACTTGGCGAATTCAAGACTCTTGCGCTCCACATGCTCATGAGGCGTGTGTGCTAATAACTCATGCAAGGTGATGATGTATCGAGGAATCTTGTAGGAGAGAAGAGCAATGCAGAAAAAAAGACTGTTTAAATTGTGAATTTTCATTCAAAAAAATAAAGCTTATATGGTGGCAATGGAGAGATAAAAAAGCATTGGTGTTATGGTGTGTTTATGATAGTGTACGTGTAATGGTGAAGGTATTTACTTGGAACATGGGGTACGTGAGGAAGGTCTCGAGCATCCTTCCCTCACAGGCGGCGTTAGACTCGTACTGTTTCAGCAGCTTGTCGAAGTCTCTGTTCTGCTTACAGTTGGCCAAAACCTGCAGGCTGTACTGATGGTTACGTACAAACTCCTGGTAGATGTTCAGCATGGGCAGCAGGATGTCAAAAAGGTCAGCTAAAACAAAAATACATGTATTCACTGTATGAACAGTATGTAAGTCACATGAATGAATCAGTTTAATTGCAATGTTTATTCTGGGCCTTTTGCTTGATCAAATATTGACACAAGTCAACTAATGAACTCCATTAACGTCACATTGATTTGAGATTAAGTGGAATTTCAATTTTAAGATAACATGCTGTTAATACAACTAACTGTTAAATTATTGTTTGGCACTGTTGAAGACCAGCCGCTGCTGGGTGATGGCAAAACAGTTTCTAACAATGCGCAGCTTGAGATTTCTCCAGTGAATGTCCTAGCACACAAATCAACATTGTGTTGCCTCACATAGCGATACACAGTGCCTTAATAGATATGACTTGAGATAATTACTTTAAGCATTTTATTATTTTAGATTTAATATACTTAATACTTAATATAGTTATTTCACTAGTTATGACAGAAATAATGACAGATAGTTTTGGTTTTAAATTTGAAAATAACTGGTCAAAGTTGTTACTGTTTCTCATTGACCAATAGGGTTTTCACAGTTTTCACAAGCGCAAATGTCAACTCCTGTCTTCAAATTTAAATGGAAAGTGTGCTTAGCTGTATGCATTGCTGTGCACACAGAAATACAATTTCATATACAGTTACAAGAAAAAGCATGTGAACCCTTTGGATTCTCCACACATAGCGTTGTGTGTTCCTTCCAAACAACTCAACTTTGGTTTCATCTGTCCACTACTGGAACATCCAGGTGCTCTTTTGCAAACTTCAAACGTGCAGCAATGTTTTTTCTGGATAGCAGTGGCTTCCTCCGTGGTGTCCTCCCATGAACTCCATTCTTGTTCAGTGTTTTACGTATCGTAGATTCGTCAACAGAGATGTTAGCATGTGCCAGAGATTTCTTTAAGTCTGTAGCTGACACTCTAGGATTCTTCTTCACCTCATTGAGCATTCTGCGCTGTGCTCTTGCAGTCATCTTTACAGGACGGCCACTCCTAGGGAGAGTATAGCAACAGTGCTGAACTTTCTCCATTTATAGACAATTTGTCTTACTGATGAACATCAAGGCTTTTAGAGATACTTTTGTAACCCTTTCCAGCTTTATGCAAGTCAACAATTCTTAATCGTAGGTCTTCTGAGAGCTCTTTTGTGCGAGGCATGGTTCACATCTGGCAATGCTTCTTAAGAATATGAAATTCAAAACTGGTGTGTATTTTGTATAGGGCAGGGCAGCTTTAACCAACACCTCCAAACTCGTCTCATTGATTGGACTCCAGGTTGGCTGACTCCTGACTCCAATTAGCTCTTGAAGAAGTCTTTAGTCTAGGGGTTCACATACTTTTTCCACCCTGCACTGTGAATGTTTAAATGGTGTGTTCAATAAAAACATGAAAACATATAATTGTTTGTGTGGTATTAGTTTAAGCAGACTGTGTTTGTCTATTGTTGTGACTTAGATGAAGATCAGAACACATTTTATGACCAACTTATGCAGAAATCCAGGTAGTTCCAAAGGGTTCACATACTTTTTCTTGCAACTGTACATTCTTTCAAGTCTAGCCACAAAATGTTTAGCAAACTACAAAGGGGGAAATAGGTGTGGTCAAGGTTATGTTAGACAGAAAACAGGAGAGATATTTCAACATTTCAGCTTTACACATGTGTAGCTGGGAAACTGACTCCCTTAAACCAAAATCTGAATGATTTGCCTTAAGAAATATTTCCTCTTTCTTGGACAACAAACAGTTGTTTGAAAAAGCCTTATCACTGTCTTGACACATGTCTACTAAAATAATAGATATAGTATTGTTTATGTGACATTCTGATAACAGCACTGGATGAAGCACAGTAATTATATATTTCCTTATCAACTGCACATAATCAAGGATACTGGGCTTTTCACTGGCTGTGCTCTCACAGGGAAACAAAGAATAATAATCACAGACAAAAGGCAAAGAAAATCCTTCATGATATCAGTCAGTCACAGATAAATGTTTCTATTAATTTGACCATGATCTGTCCGGGGTTAAAGCATGCTGTATTGGAGGCTATAACATTAAAACAATATGATCAAATCAATCAATCTGTATTGAAACTACATAAATGGATTTGATGAATATCACATTGTACATCTCAATTCTGCGTGTAGCAGAGCAACAGATAAGGGTGTTTAATCAGTCGTCCCTTTTCTTTTTGAATTGCTGTTGTGTCTTTCAACAGTCTGTCTCCTAGGTGACACTTATCTGGTGAGGAGGCTTCTGGTTTTAGGAGGTGAATTTGTGACATTCCCTCTGGTCAGGGTGGTCATTGTGTATCAAGGCAATGAGTGTGCTTGTTGCAGACAAAGATAGGGAAATGAGCATGTGTGTGTATGTGTGTGAATGGAGCAGTAAGACGTCAAGACTGATGTTTGAGTGAGACAAACTGGATCACTGAAAACCTGACCTTGATGTGGCTGCAGACAGTGTGTGTTTGGTGTAGCAGTAACAGCTTACCCAGCACTAGAGTTGGCCAATTGGCTATCCTCGCCTTCAAGCCTTGATGGAAAATCTCATGTAGGAACATGATGGTCTCACTGAAAAAAAAGTGTAAACGCAGTGTGGAAAACAAAATGACTAAAAGTACTTTATTGTTTGTTTGACTTAATATTCCTCAATATCTGTCTATGCACCCGTCATGATTAGCACTTCAGTGACTCGGTTATAAGCAAAGATGGACAGAACATCTTCACACCTGTTGAGGAAGATGCTGCTCACATCGTCGTGGTTGATGGGGGGCTTCTTGGAGCTAGCAGCCATCCTCAGAGGTCTGAGGAAACAGTTGACCAGGATGTACAGCTGGTGGACATACCTATCAACACACACACACACACACACACACACACACACACACACACACACACACACACACACCACACACACACACACACACACACACACACACACACACACACACACCCACACCCACACCCACACCACACACCACACACACACACACACACCACACACACACACACACACACACACACACACACACACACACACACACACACACACACACACACAGGGTTTAGACTTAAACAGGGAGATAGCAGATTATACAGCAATATTATAGACATTCTGAATTAGCTTCAACACATTAACAGTATATGACCAAATATTTTTAAAGAAGACAGTGTTAGAGTATAGTGTTGTTTTGTTACGGTGTCTTCAAGTTTGATTACTATATTTTTGAATGTTTTAATTTGTTATATCTGACGATTGAATGATAAATAATGATGCAAATTCAAATGAAAGTTTTTCATAGCATAAATGGATTATAAGTGCATTTCATTGTGAAACCCTGTGCTGCAGACTTACAATAAATTATCCTTGAATTCTTCAATGCCACACCCTGTGTGCGATCTGTGTTAAAACTAATTACTAATGTTTTTTGTTTTTTTTATTTGGTGAAAGCATATTTTAATTTGAGCTATGCAACAGAAGATCATTTTAACATGTTTTGCCAATGGTATCGAGTCAGGGTCTCATAGTTTGGTAATGATCTCAGTGTATGTATATGAATATTAGCTATTAATACACAGTATATATTGTGCTATACACTTTATGAAATAGATGAGAATGTTCGTTATGGCATGTTTAGTACTATATTGGAAAGCTCAACAACAACTTTTCTATGTGCTGCTACTCTAAGTACATTTAAATATACATACTCTGTCTCTGCCTCCACCATGTTGAAGACAATCTGGTTCCTCTTCCTCATGCTCTCAGCGTGAGGAGAGCAGATGTAGTCCTGAACGATGATCTTCCACTTCCTCCGACAGAGCCAGCCCCGCATGAAACTCTGCACCTGAAGAAGAACAAACATGGAAGCTTAGATATAGTCATACACATGGAGCGTACATCTGCATGTTCACACACAAACAACACGAAATAAAGTAGAAAAACGTTTACCTTTTTGATCTTTTTGATATCGGGATCTTCATTTTCTTGGTTGACATGGTAAGGACGCATTCGCTCCTTAGTTTTGTTCAGAGCTACAATCTTTAAAGAGAAATTCAGTCACAAACATAATGAGCATCATTTGGGTAGCTAAATAGCAACACAAAAGACACATACCATTACTGTAAACCCAAAATGGTCTTCTAAGGTATAGCAGGAAGTGATTCGATTTAATTCACAAGGATATTATGTTCCTAAAGGGATTTAGATTTGTTTGGTTAAAAACTGAATATGTGACATAAGGCATGCATTGTGTGCTGAGTGAACAGTCACTGTGTTTGCACCAGATCGACATCAGACTTCCTCATCTTTGACACTCTACACTACAGCCTTCATTCAGAAAGAGAGAATGACTTCAGAGGGGGAGGGCTGCTATCAGCTGGTGACAGTAAGCAAATTAAGGCTTTGATGTGCCTGATGACCTGCAGCGCAATTTACTGACTATGAAGTATAATCTTCTGCTGATGAAAATATGTCTAGCACAAACCAATCGATGGAAACCATAATGTCTTTAAAGACCCCAAAGAGTTCTTGTATCATTTTCACAGCCATCAAATATCCTCTTCAGGCATTGACGTCAGATTAGCCTTTAGAAATGTGACATTTACTCTGTGCAGGTGTGAAAAAACAGCTTCCTGCCACACAGTTAATATCGTCTTCCAGGTATGAAATCTGGCAACACCTCAGGCAGATGCCAGACTCTAAATGTTATTAAGCTGGGGGAGAAAAATCTAATTTCACATAGTAAACCTAGCTAGAACCAAGTCTCTTTAAATAACAGTGATGACTAACTTCAAACATAGCTTGTAAAAGGTTTTTCTTGGCAACGCTTTCTTCAGAAGAAATGAAGCCAGCAGAGGTTCAAACTGTCTCTAGTACTATTACCTCCACCTGTTTGGTTTTACCTCCAGGCCTCTTGAGCACATACGTTTATCACAGATGCTGAAAAGCATGAAGAGGAAACCAAAGTAATTTCCAGCCACACAGTTTCCTCTTTATTTTCTAAATCACCAGCGCTATCATGCAAATGGCAGAAGAGAGGAGCCAGTCTGCCAACTGTTGACAGTTACAGTGGATAGTTGGTTAAATTATTCATAAACACGGAGCAACACTCAAATAAACAAACAACAAGAGTATGTTTTAATGAGATGGATCACCAACTGCTCACTGGCTCTCAAAGTCTAATCCCTTTTTCATGAGCAGCCCAATTACACAGGCAGATGTTTCTTAATGTTTCTTTTTCGTTAGCATTTTCCAACCCAGTCTCACGGCATTTCGTATTCACCAACACGATTTTTAATCTATTGATTCGTGTTCACCAACACGATTTGCCCCTTTTTTTTCGTGTTGCACAGCACGATTTTAAAAGCAATGTATTTCTACTGCCTGCAGCACGTCTTTTTCTCCGGTCAGATCGAGGGAGACCGGAAGCTGTGTGGTTCATAGAAACATGTTCTTACTCAATATCAAGCCACAGTTATTGCTTTTATTTTAAATCGTATAATTTCTGACTTTTGTTGCCGTCTGTGAGGAAAATAAATGGGGCTCAGAGCCTCAGAATACGGAAATCTGTATTTTTAAATATTTTTTTCCTTCTAATTCGTTATTCTTTTCAAAATAACACACTGTTATTTACTCACCAATAACACACAATTATCCTTGCTTTTATTTATTGGTTTAATTCCATAATCTTGGGCTTTTTTGGCGTCCGTCAGGAACTGAATTTCAAAATAAAAATAACCGGAAACAGACGTAGGCCTATAAAGGGACATTTCGAGCATCATTGCGATTGTCAACATTTCTGAGTTTAGGATGGCCGAAGACACTACACTACCCATAATCCCCAGCTATCGTTTAGGACTACAGTCCCCGTAAGGTTACGCAGAGCGTCAAACAGTTGTGTGAAATGGAACGAAACCACGCCAGACTATCTAAAACTGGAATCGAACGCCCCCCCAGAACTACACATGCTGGCTATTGTGTTTCACAAAATGTTCTATGGGACGTCTCTACTGAACGTTTTCGTTTTTCCCACAATTAGAAGTTGCCAGTATTAAACACATTGGTGTTATCAAATGTAAAACATATAATTAATAAATGGGTGAAAATCGCTTGTGTCCATAATGCGCAGCATTAATACCCACATGACAGCTCATTGTTACTTTGTAATTCTACTCCACTACAAATCAGAGGTTAACCTGGTATTTTTACTCCACTGCATTTATTTGAGTTACTTGCAGATTCTGATTAATGATGTGAAATATAAACAACCCTTAAATCAGACTTTAGTTACACCTGAGTAAAATTCAGGTAAGGTGATTGTCAAGTGCCAACAATCAGGAGAGATATTTGATAGTTGGTGCTTGAGAAGACTAAACATGTATCTACAATTGACATGAATGGAAATGAGTAATAAAGTATATTCATTACTCGTTATTCTCTACTAATAGTTAATTAAAGACTGTATATTATGGCTATTTTGCACATCCCTTTCAAGATTTTCAAAGGTTTATTGACATATCATATACACAACTACGGTGTAGTTATGCAATGAATGAAACACTTGGGTCACAGGCAGTAGAAATACATTGCTTTTAAAATCGTGCTGTGCAACACGAAAAAAAGGGGCAAATCGTGTTGGTGAACACGAATCAATAGATTAAAAATCGTGTTGGTGAACACGAAATGCCGTGAGACTGGGTTGCATTTTCATTATCATCAGGGCTTACTGTATACAGCCAGTGAGATATAATCACAGCGTATAGCGAGTACAAGCATCTACTTGTTGCTCGACAGGGGGAATTATTACTAAAATCAGTGTAACAGGAAAATCCAGTAGTCCATTAGATCATAGTGGTATTTCTTCCCCCCAAAACAATATGGGCAACATATTTATATAAGACATAGTTAACACAGATGAGCCGAAACATCATGGAAAATGATGATGGAGATGTGATTTATATGTTAGCAGAGGGTGCAATATCCAAAGAGCTTCCCCTCAGGCAGGAACAGATCAGAATTCAATTTGCACCTTTACATTAGGAATACTCTGCAGTGCCCTCTGGCCATACATGTGGCACAAAAGAGAATCTCTTCTTATCAGAGGCGCTTAATGATATGGAAAATCACAGCAAATATCAGATTAGCATTCAATCGTAAAAAACAATGTTAGGGCTTTATTCTACAGGTCTAAACTGTCTGAATCATTTTCCTTACAATTTGGTTCAATTGATAAACCTTAATAATGCACTTATTCTAAAATCTGTGTTCCACTCCTTTGAATGACATCAAATGTGCTGTTTGTAAATACAGAATGTGAAACAAAAGTATCAAATAACTGACTGGGATGTCAGCATCCAAAATAAGCTCAATCCCTTCACTTCATAAATGATAAGAACTATTGATTTAATTACCATAAACTAGGGGTGTAACGGTTCACAGAAGTCACGGTTCGGTTTGTACCTCGGTTTGGAGGTCACGGTTCGGTACGGTTCGGTACAGCAAGAAAAAGCAAAAAAAAGTCCCAAATGCATAATTCCAGGTTTGTTGTTATTTATGATTGAACAGTAGTGTAAGTTTCAGTTTAAAAATAAATAACTCTTTTTTGAATAAAGAACTGTATTCAATAGTTAAAAACAAACCATACACAGTACACTCAGATGGCCATATTATCTATAATGGCTGATGTCAAACAAAAAGGTTTCATCTAGCTGTAAAGCTAAAAAGAATGTCTTGAAAATATGACATCATAAATAATAAGAAAGTGTTTCAAGAGCGCAAAGTCGTTGAAAAACATATGCCAAAAGCTTCCGTTATTTATTTTGGTCTCACGGCTTTCATGTCTATTGGTTTATAAAAACAGCGGGGATCAGCTGTTGAACTGCTGCTGTCTTTTGCCGGGCTCCGGTGAGTGGCAAATCTGGGTGATGCCTTCTGATATGATTTAGCATGTTTGGCGTGTGTTACTATTAGCATACCGCACCACTGTAGAACAACGGCGACACACCGTCCTCGTCCGATCCACCACTCGTACACTCCATCGTTATTGTAGTCCACAGGGAACCCGAAATGTTCCCACACAGCTGATTTAAAAGAAGCAGGTGGGTTCTAGCTCCTGTGTGTTATCTGAAATCGCCATACTAACTTGTCTTCTTCTTGTATTTTGTTCGTGACTGCGTGTGCCGAACCGTGACGTCCGAACCGTGACGGTACGGGACGAATACGGATACCGTTACACCCCTACCATAAACCAATCCTGTCGTGTATGTGTTTTAGACAGTGAGTTTTTATCAGTTCTTCTGATTAACAATGGTGTAGGGGTCTTGTTGTTGTTGTTGTTGTTGTAAGCATGCACGACTGATTTAGCGTGCTGTGGCGGGAGAACAGAAACGTGTTACGTTCGATAAGCATAATGATTTGGCAGCTGTTTGTAAGGAAACTGATGGGCTTCTTTTATTGAGCGGTGGGCTTTTCCTCCTACACTCAGAGTTGAGTGAGCACCATTCCCACCCACTCCTTCGCTGCCATAAAAACAGCTGTGAAAAGACACCCGCTCACAGCATACCCATAGGGATATACATTACAATCATTGCATATAAAGGGCACACCTCTTTTTATTAAAGTTTAGTTATTTTAGATTCTATATGAATATACTGTATATGTCTCATATATTCACACAGGAAGCACTGATCTGTCCTGCTCTTGTAGTAATACAATTCTGCATGTAGTTCGTCTCACTGAGTCAAATGACATGAAAGCTATTGGAAAAGAGAGACCTTTTGAATAAATAATAATATAAATATATATAACGATTAGTTTTCTGTAATTCAAAAATGTTTTATTGATTGTCCCTAAGTGAAACCCTGACTGTGGTCTGTAGTCTGTGAAAACTGAGGAAGAAGACGCCACTGGATCCTGAGTGAATGTCTGTCCAATATACAACCTAAACCTCATTTTAACCCCGTAATTTGAAAAACGCCATGGAAGAGGCAATGGTTTTAGGCAATTGGACAAACACATTGGCTATTGCTAATTGTATTGTATGCCCTCAAAGAGTGAGAGTCGCTGCTCAGCAGACCACTGACCTGCTGTTAAGGAAGGAGACAAACGGCACTCAAAAATGTCAAAGAACCTAAGGTTTGGGGGCACAGTCCCACAATCATAGAGCAACTGTATCTGCAATTGCTAGTTGTTGGAATTGCATGAGGCCAGTTAGAGAAAACAGAGGCACTGCACCGGATGGTCCAGATTCAGGTGTTTGTGTGTGCACGTGTTTGCCGTAGGCCTACCTCTGATTTGAGCCTCTCGATTTCTGTGTCCTGATCTTCCAGCTGGGTGCGCAGCTGATTGGCGGCGACCTTCTCCGTTTCTACTATCTGTACAAGGTGGATGTATTTCTGCATCAGCACCTCTCTTTCAATGATGATGTCAGAGTAACTGAAAATAAAGACATAAAGTAAAATAAGTATTTACAGAGGTATCAGTTATATGAGGCACTTATATTATAAACATGACTGAGTAGCAGCCTTCACAAAATAATGACATTTGTTGATTCTGCTCCCATGTGTGTTATGGTAGAAAACATTGAATGTTTCTAAAAACTGTATGGAAATTATTTATGAAGGTTATTCAGTTAATCTGTCCTGAGGGAAGCTTTAAATCTTAAAAGCACTATGAACATAATTTCTATGTGAGCAAGCCCTGTGTGACAGGGTCTGTTTTAATTGCACTTTTGCTGCAATATTGTTTTGAATTTCCTCTTGGAAATTGAAAATGCCCAAAAAACAAATGGATGAAAATACACCTAATCTTGTTTGATTTAGTCAGCAACTCAATTCCTGATATTAGTCTGGAAACAAAGCCAAAAACATGTGTTTTTTTGGAAAACAACCAGCTTTTTACTGATTATACATGGTTCTGTATATTTAAAAAACCCAGCATAATGAATGCTCTCTAATCTAAATGTTCTGTCACAGAAACCAGTCTAATGTCAAATGACCTGCTGTACAAAACAAGACGGGATAGCACACACATTTATTTTATTCAATACTACGTGCATACCTTGCCTGCTGGATGGCCTCCACCCATTCATCGCACTCACTCTCCTCCTCTGTTCGCAGCTCCAGAGGCTTCTGTCCATCGTGACCGAACACGATAAGGAAGTAGTGCTGAAAATAAATAGAATAACAGTTTATATCTGTGACCCTGACACCTAACACATCTACAACATCACCCCTCAGTTGTGCCAACAGTTTCACTTTAAAGCACAGGATGTTTTGGTCGCTCCTTTGAGCCGCAGCTCATCAGTCAAATGGCACACACATATGGAAACATGGCTTTCCACTACATTTGCTTTTCACGCTCTCTTCTTGCCCAGATTCGTCCATATAAAGTTCCAAAGGCCTTACATGAAGCAGTCAGAGCACACGGACACAATGAAGATAAACTATTGTCTGTGCCCCCCTTTCTCCACCAGCCTATTATCATCACCATCAATTAGCCCACTCCCTGTCTCACTCTCATTTCCCATTCGTCTCTCTTATTACTCTGATTAAATTCCCTGAGTATCTGCCTTCAAAATACACTTTTACACACAGTCACATGCCAACACAGGCACGCACAGGCACGCACAGGCACACACAAACACACACACACACACACACACACACACACACACACACACACACACACACACACACACACACACACACACACACACACACACACACACACACACACACACACACACACACACACACACACACACACACACACACACACACACACACACACACAATGTGAAGTGATGGAGGCTTTTATTCAAATGGTCTTGTCCTGGGGCATTGGGTTACCAGAAGAGCTGCTATTCTTAGTCAGGGAAAACAGAGAAGACTGAGCTCTGCATGGAATTTCTCTCTTCTCCTCATCCAACCGCCTCTTTCATCCACCTCTTCTCTCTCTCTCTTTGCACTTCACCTATCATCCCACTCTGCCTCCTCTGTCCTGCTCAACCAGCATCCTCACTTCTCTCTGTTGTCGAAACCCACTCCTCCTCCTCCTCCTCCATCCCCACATTTCTTCATACTCTCTTTGTGTGTCTCTGAGTAAGGCTTCAGTGACCCAAACTGAGTCCAGAGAGGAGAGAGGTTTACCCTGCAGCAGGATTGACGGCTTTCTGCCCCTGCAGTGGGGATGGGCTGGATACAGTCACCATGGTTATAGGAATACACACACACACACAATTCACTGGCTGGCTGGATTTTATTACACAAACAAAAATCTGTGCTCTAACAGACTTCGACAGGGAGAAAGAGAGACGGGTCGAGAGATGGAGCGGTTACATAATATTTCTTAACCGAATACACGTTTCTAAATTGTGTCACCGCCTAACAAGATAGAATTTCCATGGCAACGCAATATCTGATGCTTCCGCTGTGTTTGCACTTCCATGTTATGCCTTTAGCGCTGCTGCCTCTATTCATTTAATGCTTTTATTCATCAATCCTGCAGTTTTGGTTTTGAGGAGGAAGCAGCGTCAAGTAGAAAATGAAATAATTTGATAGTGCAGATTTTAGAGATGTAGTATTCTGAGAATATGTTATCTGCACTGGTAATGGGTCAATGGTTATGGATTTTTTCAGTGCTATTATATGTCATAGTTTTAAATGTATCTGTTTTTTATAGCCTTATTAAAATGAAAACACACAAATGTTTTCATAACAAGTTGGTATTGATTCACATGGTCGCACAGATGGCTCTGTCGTTATTATCACACATACAGCAATGCTAATGTTTGAAACTGCAGTGACTTCTCCCATTTTGAACTCAATTGTGGAATAAATAGATGTGGTCGCAATACTATTCTGCTGCAATAAATGTCCTAAATAAAAATTAAAATTCCTGATGAATATACATTAAAAAAAAGGATATTTAAAATAACTAAATTAAAAGTACTCATTATGGAGGCAGACCTATCCATCTGAAGTTTATAATTGTATTGTTGTCATTTTCAGGGTACTCCATCATGTAAAGTTTGCACACTGTATTCCCCTTTGAATTTGACAGCCAGTTTCCACATTCTATTTCTACAGACCCTCTAAATTGTATGTAAGTATAAATAGTTGAAATAAGTCACATTCTCGTCATATTTTTACCCTATATGTATATTAATATTCTCTTTGACCCCTGCTGTATACTACTACTACTACTAATTGCTGCAGCAGTGACCCAATTGCCCCAAGGCAATCATTAAAGTTTAATGGTATCACATCCTTATAGCAGATTTTGCATCATGCTGGACCTCGTGACATTAACAATTCGGTGTAATGCAATGAATTGTAACACTGTGCTGTGTCCTCACTAGTAGAAAAAGGAACACAGTAAAGCAGTAAGAGGTCAGAGTCTCACTGAGCTGTAAACACGCAGTTTCCCAACTCTACAACTACCATCCAAGGCTACCGGCTCGATCTCCCTTCAAATCAGCTCAAATGTAGCTTCTATCCCTCAGGGTCTTCGTTGTACTGCAAGATATTCAATTTAAACAAATAAAGACTGAGAGGAAAACAAAAGACTCTCTCTACTCTTTAGCTCTTTATTTCACCAATTTACCACTCACCTTTTTGCATAATCTGAGCAGCTGCTATAATGGAAAATGAGTGGAAACTGACAGCTTGACACAAAGGAGTGTGTTTTACCACCACCGAGAAAGACAGACACAATAGAAGCAAATTCTATTATTCAGGAACAATTTTGGGCCTGTCATTTAAAACTGCTTGCTGCCGGAAGAGGTGAAGAATAAGACTTGTTCTTTTCATGTGCAAAAGAGACTTGGGAAATGAAAACGTACTACACCCCCTCAAGTTTATAGTGGTGCTGTGATTAAATACCTTTTTCTCTATTAAACATTACAGAGTCAAAGATGAAACTGGACTTGGTGGTAATAGATTCATTAGGCAAACGATGGCTGGGGGAACCAGAAATACTCATGTGTTATAAATATTTTAAAACAGAGATGACATTGTTAGGATTCACTGCTGATTAGAAGGCTTGAATAGCAACCAATGATGCAACACGGCTGTCTGCTGTGGTGTCTACGCTGAGGAGAGGCCAAGTTGTGTTACAGTACCGCAGATGGACTGTCACCACTCTCACTGTCAGCCTTTCAGAGCGACTGGCATTTTACTGCCGCAGGTTTTTAAAAGAGCATACCAGTATGTTTCAAGTTTTGATTTATTAACTACAAATCTTCTGTACTTTGCATGCTATACCCTTATGGATTATTGTTATTCTTTTTGCCGTGCTGTTCATTAGAACGAACCATCTGCCAACCTGAATATCGAGAGCTGTCTTTGCAAAGTTGAACCATATTTTACTCGTATGCCACAGCAGATTAGGTTTCTTGTAGGAAAGGAGCTTAAAGAAAACTGATTATCAAAGTTATAATAAAACAGGAATATGAGACAATATTGTTTTTGGAAAACTAAAGCTTGTAAACCTGTTGTAGTAAAAGCCCAAAAATCTAAAAATGATCCTGGAAATTAAAATGATATGTGCCGTTTCAAATATCCTCTAATTTCATATGATACTTAAATGAATAGAAACCAATATCTAAAAAGAACAGAGGAAAATAATAGTCAAGTTTCTAAAACACGCATATACAGTACACCCTGTACATATTTTGTTGTTCAGTAAATGTGCTAAAACTTGCAAAACCACTGGCATGGTTATAAAGAAAAGAAAAAAATGAGGTGGTGGTGGAGCAAGCTGTACTGTATAAGTCAGAGAAATTGGCCATCACGTTACTGCTCTGTCTCACCTCCATATACTGTACAGTATTGTATGTTTGCGTTTATATTAACGCCACACTGCTAAGGTTGCTACCTTTGTTTGATCTTTATTTGCATAAAAGCAAATATTTAGACACTGCCACCACTGAGCAAAAAGTACTGCAAGCAAGTATTCAACAGGACAAGTACAACCTCTATTTGCATGAAGGTACAGTAAAGTGTTACTACAGCATCATGGATAAGTGAAATACAACAGTTCAAAACAAGGTACCGCAGGGAAAACCAATCAGTTATTTTCAATGCCATGTGAGTTTGGTTGCCGTTAACGTCTTACAAGGGCAAGAGGTTTTGAACTCATCCTTAGTTCCATATGTACTAAGCACAAAGTAGAAAAAACACATGATGGGCTCCACTGGAGGCTGTGATGTAAAATGCATCTCCACCATTGCAGTGCTGTGGTGAGGCAGGGACTGCTCAGAGATCCTGGGTCCCGCAGGGCGGTGATTACCATTACAGAGAAATACAACAGAAAGGAGACCTGATTCATGTGTGTGTGTGTGACTCCAGAGGGAGTTGATATCATCGATAAACTGGATTCCTGTGTGTTTATGTGTGGAGGTATGTAAGCCATGTTGTTTTTCCCTTAAAAGATTATAAGAAAACCAATGAGATATAACAAACAAAAAGTGAGCGATAAAACAGAGCTAACCTCAAACAACTGGTTGTTGCATTTTCATATCAACGCAGCAACAATGAAAAGGAAACCATTTTTTTTACATAAAAAACGAGCCACAAGACCCTAATGAAAGTTATTACATCTTAGTGTTCTAACATTGTGGTTAATGTTCTAAATAACTAAGATATATTGCAGACATAATCTTTTGGGTTTTCATGAATAGACTGATAATGATGACATTGTACACAATATCGTCGTAAAACATGTTATTGGCCATTGAAAGGATTGAATCATTAACTGAAAGAATAAAAGTCACAATGTAAAAGTCATTTCTCTAAAGAAGCTTACGAGAGATAAATAGGATAGGAGGGGTGTTGGATCACTTTTCCACCCACCAGTCTCTCGATCAGCCTCCCTCCTCTATTCCTCTCATTTCTCAGCTCCTGTTGTGCTCCCACAGGGGCTATAATGTCTTTTTGTGCCTAATCTAGCTTCATCAAATCCTCCAAGGAAAAGAACAATGCGACAAAGTGCTTATGTCATAAAAAAATGTTGTGCATTCAATAATACAACAGTACTTTATGATCTTGTTTACTTTACATTAGGGTACCTGCACATGCATCTTTTTCAATAAGTGGTCCGGTGACATCCATCATATTTGCCATTTAAAAAAATATTGACGGAAATATGCTCATTCATTTTTTTT